TTGATACATAAATATTTTTGTATATTTTATGCTTGCAAAGAGCATGTTCTAGCCACATGCAGAGAGAGAGAGAGAGAGAGAGAGAGAGAGAGGAATCTTGCAGCAGATCACCAGTCAATGCTATTATATTATCATATTTTTAACATTTAAACCTTAATTTCATGATCATCACTACAATTTTTTGACTAGAAAAAGTGGAACCAAAATCCACCCTTTAAGTAAAACTCTTAAGAGGAGGATGTCTACAAACCGAAAACCGAGACAATTATGCGACTCTAGGAAAATGTGTACGTGAGAAGTGTAAGATAGAAATCTTTACGTTTCTTCTTTTTTTTGTTTGGACGAAGAAATCTTTAAATTTCAATTCATCTGCATTCACAGCACTTTTGTCCCACTTTCTTCTGTCCCAAATTAATTGCCTGAAAATCTGTTCATCATATATGTATATTTTCTCTTGCAAATTTGGGCCATCTGAGAATCTCCTCTCGCCAAAATGAAGGCAGACCCATGTTCATATCTCCATTAAAATTATTTTATTCTTTCTAGTGTCTAGAGCACATTGTCTATCTTGATAATTTCCTGCATATGGATTGATGGAAATGACTATGGCAGAAGAGTACAGCGGCAAAGGAAGAATGGAAGCCCATGCCTCTCTCCCTTTTCTTCTTTTTTGCTTTTGTTATTCTTTTTTACTGTTTATTTTAATTTTTATGTCATTCCAAATCATTAGTAAAATAAATAAAACCTGCCTCAGCTTGAAGAACTTCTAAACATTATAAACCTATAAAAGTATTTGTCATAGGATCCTAAGCATATAATATATATTACAATATCAGTTATGAAATTAGAAAATATATATGCACTTTTGATATCAGCATGAATCGTGAACTCATCACATATATGAATATGATATTCATGCTCTCACATGTTGTAAGAATGTGCAGCGCTAGTTCTTATTATATTGTTGATGGTCAATTTAATACTATTGTTTTTCACATTTCATTTTAATATACAAAATGCTTGAAAGAGAAATGATATACATTAAACATGAGATGTGGTGTGGTGGTAGCTCATCTCATTCCTTAATCATGAGGTTGGGGGTTCGATCCCCGCCCATGGGAATGGAGCACATTTCGTGGCCAGCCGTTTACCTCTATTGGGAGAGCTCCCCCGGCGAAAGGAATTAGTCACTGCTGTCGGCGGTGGATACCCTTGGGTCTCACCTAAAAAGAAATGATATACATTAAATCAAATTTTTATCGAATTATGAGCACAAGATTACTAATAAGGTTATTCTATTGTAGAATAATTGTATTACGGATTAGTAAACATGTCATATAACTCTAAAAATATATGCGATTCATAAACATAAAAAAGAGAGACTCTTGTAGACAACAATATCAACTAGTTGTCAGTCTAATGATGCTTCTCTTTTACAATATTAGAGGAAGTCTCAAGTTTGTTTTTGTCATGTCACCCGCATATATACATATGGTATATTTTTCTTATTAAGACGTAATAAAGTATATGCTTAAAATCAGAGGGTTACGTATATACATATAGTATATTTCATCATGTCTTTTACTTTTTGTTTTTAATTTTTTTTATTGGAGGAAATTGAAGAACAAAATGCGAATCTCCATGAACTCTAATTAACCTCCTCACATCTCAATATCCTGCTCTTTTACCAGCACACCACATCTAACCGGTTACGAAAGGTCCAAACAGAACTTCAAAAGTGTACTTAGATTTTATGCTCAATCACATCTTACCGTGCCCAAGTGGCTAAGTGACCTAGTGACCACTGACCAGACTTCTCTAAGATCTCCTCATTATATCCGTATATGTAATGAAACCAGAAGCAAAAAATTGTGTTAAAGAACTAACAGTATAGGCAATAGGTCTTCTTTTGCTTTCGGTGTTAGAAAAAAGTAAGTGATAGATCTCTGGCTTTTGGCCTGTTTACTTCAATCAATGTGACTGAGCCAGTGAATGTCTTTGGCATAGAAGAGGACGCATGGAGTCGGAGAAACGAGAACAACTTGCATCTCACAGAATAACATTATTTTGCTATCTCAACTAATTAATTATCATACTGGATGAAATGTAATCGATTAAAAATAACAAAACAGTGTTATTCCCGTAATATACAAATTCACGTATAATAATTTATATAATAGATCTCCAAATAAACCCATGAAAGGAGGGTAGGGGGCCATGTGCAGCAGCAGCAGCAGCAGCTGCGGCTACTCCTCGACTTTTTTCTGTTTCTTTTTCAGTATAAAAACCGATAGTTCATCAGAGCCACCCACGTGATCGATGCCCTCAGGCCTCAGGGCCTCACACCCCATTGACTTGTGCCTTCTTGCATGTTTTCTTCAAGACACTCACAAAACTTTGTTTTTCTGACACATTGGACTTTGGTACTTGGATTTTTCGTGTTATCAACTTTCAACTTGGTTGTTACTTATTCTTAAGACTCTGGGAGTTTTAGCGTCAACTGGGAAAGCAATTACCCAAAAGGAAAAAGAGAAGCGAAAACAAATTATTCCATTGTTGCATTAGAGAGAGAATTATAAGAATCATAACAGGGTGATTATGAGATAGGGAATAAGAATATCCCTGCTCTGCTTGTATGTATTATTAATCAAACCCTAGATATAATCATATAACTCTAAAGGATAGTTCTCAAATGTGTGGCTTTAAAAACAACAATTATATAATTCTGATAATAACTTTTTTTTATTTATTTCTTTTCTGCTAAAGATTAAAATTACAAAATTCTGGTGGATTGGATTCACAGATCTTAGAGTTGACAGTTTCGTTGATATATATGGGACCCACGTGAAGAATATTATACCAACCGAGGCTGCCCACTTGGGTCATCTCAGTCAAATTATTTCTCTGCCTCTCTGACAAAGACTTGGATTAGATTGGGATGCCACTGCCTCACTGCATCACTGCCTACACTACCTTTAATCATTTTCCTCTTAATCATAGTCATTACTCACCATCTTAACCTTGCTTTTACGTTCAAATGTCGGTTGGAGCCTCAGTTGCAACAAATCTCATCATTAACACTAATAGGGTTTTCCTATAATGCCAATTTCCGTTTAATTGAAATGAGTTTGTAGCTGTTAAATCGACGAGTTCATTCGTTCGTATCTTCTATTGGAAAAGAATTTGTATATCACACTGTTTTCATATTCTCAACCGGATTGTGTTTCCATTAAAGGTGAATTCTTGTACCTGAAATGCACTGGGCTGATAATTCTTATTCTTTTATGAATGTGATGATTGTAACAATAATTCTTGTATCTTATATATGAAATATGTGATGATTGTGGATCTTTGATCAGATGGTGTATTGCTCGAGAAATAGTGCATACTTTCTCCATTTGAAGCCAATTAAAAAGGTTCACATTGGCTTTCCGCCATGTGGATGACACATTTTTTATACATTGAAAAGTACAACAAAACCATTCAAAGTTTCAAACTTTGGCTTTGCATGCAACCTACTGGTATAACCTATGTTGTTTAACAATTTAACTTTAAGAAAAGTGAGATAACACCTCCCTCAGCACCCCCTCACTTCCTATAAATACACCCTCAAACTCACTTGCATTACAACATCACTTTCTCCATTTCAATTCACTCACTTCCAATTTCTAAAAGAGTAGAAACACATCTATATTCAACACATAACTAGAAAAGCTACATATATAAATATATATTTTTTATACAATGTGGCTTATTTCTTGGCCCAAGACCACATGCACCACCAAGGCTGGTGGTCATGAAGGCGGCACCACCGCAACCTCGGGTACTGCAGTCACCGCTAATTGTCTTAGGAGTTCATCATCCCACTGTACCTGTCTGGCCAAACTGGTGAGGAAGCTAAAGAAACATAGGAGAAGGATAGGGGCTGCTAGTAGACAAAGTTCATTCCAGTGTCATTATGATCCATTGAGCTATTCTCTCAACTTTGATGCAAGTGGATGTGGAAACTTGTTAGATGATCAAGATTACTTCAAGTTCTATGCCTTCTCCTCCAGGTTTGTGGCCAACCCATCAGAACCTCAGCTGGTCCAAAACTGATCACCACTCCTCACTAGAAATATATATATCAATTCTAATGATCTTGAGCTTTGTATCTTTGGCTTGGATGTAATGGGTATTTTGTATATTGTTAGAGGGTTTGGCATCTAAGAGAGAGAGAGAGAGAGAGAGAGAGAGAGAGAGGTTATTCTAGCTTCTACCTTGATGGGTACTTTAGCTTATGCATTTTTGTACTGGCTGACTAGTAGATACAGTTCGATTAATCATCTTCTTCTTCATCCTCTTTACTTTTATGTTTTATTTTCTTCGATTTCAGATTTGTTGTTCTTCTGATCTTGTTGATGTCAAGTATAGTTTACAATCAGCAGAGTCTCAAAGTTAATGGTCACTTATCCAAGTCCCTAGGCATCCCCTGAATTCCTATTGGTAGGGTTCTGTATCTGTACCGTCTGTGAGGCAGAAAAATTGCAAGTAAACAGGCCACATGAAATTTTTAAGGGATACCAAACAAAGCAAAAGACAAAATTGGTAGTTCTGGTATGATGAGAGAGAATAGGGGACAAAAAAGAAATTTTTTATTTGCTGCCCATCCAGTTTAGTAGATTATGAGTCCTGATACAAGGAGAGAATAAAAAAACAAAATGAAGAGAATCATTAGTTGTTTTAACTTTAGATTATAAATTGGTTTTTTTTGTTTTTTTTTTTTTCATAAACTTTCTCATTAATTTTTTTTTTTTTTGGCTTCACACCAGTTTTAATCTGTATGAAAGATTCTTAAGTCACTTAACCAACCAAATGCTTAAAAACCAAAACAAATTTATACAAAACTAATGGAGAATAAAGGTTGCTCGACGCAGCAATTCATACTGTAAACAACTCTCTCATTGTAAAGAAAGCAGCAATTCCACAAGACCACCATATGGAAAATGGCCACCAGAAAATTATAAATCCAAAACCAGTCTTTAAAAAAATTGAAAAAGTAAACCAACAGATTTTTTTTGGGTCTGAAGTAAGCCAACTGATTGGGCATCACTATTCAGATATTGTCTCATTGATGAGACATAAGGGGGACGCAAGGTCCATGGTAAAATGAGAAGGCAGCACTATATTTTTCATTCTCTTACATAAGCTTTACACAACATTATATATCCTAAATAACCCTATATTGGCTAGTTTATCATGCACTACAAAAACCTACAAAAATTCAAGCACATCGGAGCCTTGAATAACATGAAAGAATAACTATGTTCTAATCCCATATTACAGCTACGGTTCCCGATCACTCAGAGGATGATCTGAGACAGTGCCCTCAGAAGAAATTTCCTCTACATCGGGCCGTTCTGTCCTAGAGGGATCTGATTGAGTCTTGCTGGAATCCCCACTTTCAGTATCACATGTTCTATCTTTCCCAAGTGAATCACACACCTTAAGAGGTGAGCCCTGCTTAGCCTCCTTGCTTCCAAATGCAGTTTGGGAGTCCAAAAGTCCTACTTGGTCAACTGAGTTTGGCAACGAGGGCTTTGTGTCATGAAAGCTTGAGCTTGCCATGCCAGAAGCTGCTGACAGATGTGGACCTGGAGCAACACAGGATGCTACCAATTGAAGCACTTCAGGTGAAGGGGACATTCCCATGATTGTCTTCTTCTGATGATTCAGATGCGGCAATGAGGATGATGGGTTTGCCATATTTAAACTGAGAGGCGCACTGAGGTCAGATTCAATCCGTGAAAGGCCTGAAGTTGCAACCATTGATTGTGGAAGCAATGGAAATGATGGGGCCATAGGAATGGAGCTTGAAGCATTGTCACCAAAGTGTGTGCTCTGAAAGTCCTGGCTGCTTCCAGCAATTTCGGGTGGAATCCGCCTAAACAGACGTGATTTCTGCCTTCTTTTCTTCTTTAAACTCCGTCTTGGATCCTTTGGTAGCGAAGGTGGTGGGCCTGGAATCACAAAGGGAGGAATAGTTCGCTTATCCTCCCCATATAACAACCGAACAGATTGGGCTATTGCTGACACTGTAGGTGGCAGGTCAGGTGCTGGGGGTTTAGCAGGAGCACTTACAGCTTCCCGTAGCCAATGGGGTAGCTTGTCCTTTGAAGAACTACTTCCAGCAAGATCTTTCCCCTTTAAAAGCCCCCTCTTGGGATCAGGTAGAAATCCTGAACTGGTAGGTTCACCCCTTCCCAAATTATTATTCATATCACGTAAAACATTCAGTGATCTATCAAGAAGACAAGGCAACTTCCCATACTTATAGGCACCCTGTTCATCTTCCTTCTTCTGTACATCATAGCTGCTTGAGGAATTCAAACCCAAGCAACTGGTTCCAAAAGAAGTGACAACAAATGGCTCCTCAATGGGAACATTGGAAGACGTCCCTGGTCTGTCAGAAACTCCAGCAGAAGAATCTCCGGAAAAATTTGCCCGGAATTTTTCATGAAACCAAGTTGGAATGGGGGGAAATTGCTCATTGTGCAAACCAACTCTATCTGATGCTTCAAGATGCGGAAAGCCAGATGTAAGATCACTAAAACCCAGCTTCATGTCTGTCAAGTGGGGTTGAAATTTTGGCGGTGTGACAAGTCTACTTCCATGCAGTGCCCGTGCCATCATCCCATCAGATATGCATGGAAACTGTGAGGATTTGGTAGTCCGTTTGGCTGATTTGGACACTGGGAAAGATGGCCCATCCAAAATCTTGAGTTGCTCCTCCTCCCATCTAGCTGACAAATCTTCCGAAGTTTTAAACTTCGAGAACTTCAACCTTGGGTCTCTTAGCATTGCATCCCAATTGCCCCTTCCATGCCTACGAACACCAATCCAGAGGAAATCAAGTTCATCTTCCGTCCAGATATCTGCTTTTGATTTCTTTTTAAACAAGTTGCTTGATCCAGGCCCAGTCCTCATCATTATGTTTTCAAGCACCTTCCTGTGGTTATCAGGGAATGATGGAAATGTAGTTGGCATATGTCCCAAACCCAAGGTGGGAGGCACTTCTCTGTCTTGTTGATTATATCTGGGTGCATCTTGTGGGGGTAATTTTAAATTGGGGAACAATGGCATTGTTGGAAGTTCTTGCAAGGAGCCATTGGAAGGTTCAAGTCTGCTACCCAATGACAAGCTAGGCAAGAAGTCAAAATGTGGACTTGGTATGCTCTTAGTTGAAAGCGGGAATCTTGGTAACAATTTCTCATCAAAAGGTAAGTTAGGCAGTGCCATCCTCTCCTGGAAATCTGAAAAAGCAGCACCAGAACTTTCTGGACGATCATAACTGTTTCCCTGAATAGCCGGAGGATACTGCAAACAGACCTAGCATTATGATCATGATTCATGTATCAACAAAACTTATAAACCAACACACATGTATCAACAAAACTTATAAACCGGAAGAGAGAGAGAGAGAGAGAGAGTACCGGCCTAAATGGCAAACCACCATTTGGGATGTTATTCTTGAGACGTGATACTTCCGCTGATGCACCTGATAATTTCACTTCATCACCATTTACATCTGTCTCAGACAAAGTCCCAGACTGAGGAGCTAGACTAAATGGAAACTCTGGCCGAGCTCCTTTCTGTCTGCAATTTGACCTTGAGAAGTTCTTATTTGATGATTCTATTTGACTAGCATTGGGAGCACAAAGTCCCAGAACAGGTAACAAATTATTTGGGGGCACTGAGTTGGTCATGCTGGTTCGCTGAGATTGGTGACTTGGAAAGAAAATGTCAGGAGACAGGTAGTCAAGAGGATTGACAGAAAGATCAAGGCGGCTGCTTTTATGTTTTGATTGTCTGCCCAACCGTAAGGGAGAGTCAGTCTTGGCCTTGGGAGCATCTAACTTGTTATCCTCCAAGTCAATTACTGAAGGCCTCTCTCTGAAAAATTGAACCAGTCCAGTCGCTTGATCCCCATCTTTGGCAGGATTGGTGGGACACGGAGGAAGTGACTCAACAGGCAGTCCCTCACTAGGATGAGATTCCTCAATTGCATTCCTCTGAGCGAGCCGTTCTTTTTGTCTAGCTCGGAGCTTAGCACTGTTGAATAATAAATAAAAAAGTAATCGACTGTCAAACAATGCATGAAAACTTACTACTATTATACTTGCACCAGTCTAAATGCCTACAACTCAATAATTTGGTGACCATTAAAATCTGAAATAATTTCCACTTCAAAATAAAACGCCTGTTTTTCCCCTTGATGTGTAGTACTCTCCCCATCCAGTTCAAATTTGATAAAGTCCATATGTTAAGACTCCAGTTCTTAAATCTTTAAAATTTAAATAATGCTTGACTCAAATGAATCGCACATACCTCAAAAATGTGAAAGTTAGACATGTATATCCCTATTACCAAACACAACTAGGTACTTAAAAAAACTGCTTGACAATTGTGCGGCAGCTTTCTACACAATAAAATCAATCTCAACTCCTGAACTAAAGCAATTATGGTAGAATTACTTGAAGAGATTCTGAACTTACAATTTTGCTTTTAGAGCTCGTCCAGCAGGTGTGTACTCCCGCTCTGGCTCTGGTTCAGGCTCACGTTCCTCTTCCGCACCACTCTGCTTATACAAGCAAACTATTAGAAGCAATATGGATAAGCAACTTAACCCAATGAAATTATGCAACAAACTCTTGCCCAGATGGTCCAGGTGGCTGAGTAAAAAAATTCTTTGCACCATAAATGAATCCATGCAAGTCAAAAGAAAAGTTAGAAGTGGAAGGCCTGAAACAAGCTCAGCCAATTTACAACATAAAATTCAGTCATAGAGGGGGTTTTATATTTTAAGAAAGTGTATATACAGTTGAAAAAGAAAACGAAAGTTTTTCTTAGTGATATTTTCAGCAGCAGCGTGAAACTGCAGATACAAATGAAAGGCAGACTAGAAAAAGGATTATTCTTCATTTAAACATATGTCTAACTGAAGTACCTCACTCAATGTTTCAGTTGGGTGTGCAGCATATGCTTCCCTGTAAGAAACAGCTTTCCGCAGGCGCTTCCCCCGACCAAGAGCTGCTTCCTCCTCACTTTGATATCTCTCCCACCTACAAGCCCGAAAAATTGCAAATGACAATTCAGAAGTATTTAAATCTCAAGTCTGTAATTGCTCTCTAAAATCCTTCATTTCATTTTACTCCTTTTAATGTACAACACATTTAGATCCACTTTATATATACATTCGAATATAGATGTATTAATCCTATTAGCAGATTAGTAGAGTAGCAGTAATAACACATGATAACACTGAACATAGGTGACAATAGAATAGTTTGTTACCTAAGACGCAATAGTCTGTCCCATTCATTTTCTTCAGTAACAGTAACCATGTTATCCTCTTTCCTTTCGGTATTTTGTACACAAATATCATCACTTGCACCTACAGGTGATTCAACTACCTGCTCTTCAGCTGGTTCCTCATTCCATTCGATGGACTGGTAAAGCGATAAGTTAGTATGAGATAAACAACAACAGAGAAGAAATTGGTTTTTTAATTTTGTTGACTATTAGTCCTTATAGGCAACTTTCATGCAAGATAAAAACAGCTTAAAGTAGGATAACAGGATCAATATGCATGCAACTAAAAATGCATATAACATGGGAAAAGCATAGTACCCAATTTAAAACATGGGAAAAGCATAACTAGTTAAGTCACGAACTCAATTATTTACCAATAACTCTCACCGACGGAGATGCATGTCTCAGGACAAGGTTATAAACAAGCTGACATGGCGAAAGGGCCTGAATCTACAACTAACTTGACTCAGCCCTTGCCCCAATTGATGGATCATAAAGCAATTCAGTTTTACAAGTCATATGTCATAATGCAGAACACAGAAATGCAAATTTTGTAAAATTTTGCATGCAAGTTCAGTTTAAAGTATAAACAAGAGCGGATCCAAAGCTGATGTTATGGGAATACAAGTTGCCTTAGGCAAAAAAAATAATTTTGTAATAAACCACCACGTCTTAATATGTAACAAAAAAATTATTCATGGCAACCCCAGATTCAAACGGGAAAAAACCCTCAAACAGTAATGATTTCAAGTGGTAACTGATATAAAATCACCATAAAACTTATTATCAATGCATAAATAAACAACAAATGCATTAGAAAGTTTAATACTTCACCTTTACTGAGCCAAGCATGTCATTTTCCAAATCTCCTTCAGCAATATCAGTTGATCCAGACTGAAGGTTTGAACGGTCTAGCAACTTTAAAATTGCACTTTCATCCCACACAATCTTGTTGCTGCTATCTGTACATTTATCCTTATACACATCCCCCAGGCCACCAGTTCGCTTCCTATGCTTATGTTCTACATCTGTCACTGCCTCATCTTTGTTACTATTATTTTCGTCTGTATCTTTTCCATCAGCGCTAGGAGAATCATTAAAAAGCTCCTCTGTTCCCCATTTTATAATATCTTCCACTTCTTTTTGGGATCCCGACTTATTCACAAAAAGCTGATCAAGCATAAGTTTCTTCTTTGCAAGCTGCAAGATGCGCTCTTCAACACTAGCACGAACTACAAGCCTATATACCAAAAGTCGTTTTGACTGTCCAATTCGATGTGCTCGATTCATAGCTTGGATATCAGCATGTGGGTTGAAATCAGAATCATAGATAATGACAGTGTCAGCTGTTGCCAAATTGATACCAAGGCCACAAGAGCGTGTTGATAACAAAAAGACAAATCGGCTTCTATCTTGGTTAAAACGCGCAATTGCAGATTGACGATCAGTGACTGAAACAGAGCCATCTACTCTCTCATATGTTTTAGGTCCAAATTCTATGGCCAAATAATCCTCAAGGATATCTAGTAGCTTGGTCATCTGTGAAAAGATTAGGACTCTGTTACCTTCTTTGTGCAAAATCTTAAGCATAGAATGCAACAGAGTCAACTTGGCTGAAGCTTTTATCCGCATTTCATGAAGGAACTCTACAGACCCAGAGTCAGGTTCAGTGCCTGGTATGAGATAAGGATGATTGCAGACTTTCCTTAATTGCATTACAATGTTCAACATTGACTGCTGTGCCACCCCTTTCCCAATATTCCGTAATATCTGATAATTCTTTGTGAGCATTGCGCGGTAGTATTCAGCTTGGATAGAGGACAGCTCAACAGGAACCATCCGTTCAGTCTTGGGGGGGATATTCTGCATAGCATCCTTTTTAAGCCTCCGAAGCATATGTGGAGCAACAAGTTTTTTCAATTCATCCACTTTTTCTGCAGTTGTAAGATCATTAAACCTATCCTCGAATGAAGATAGCGAAGGGAATGAAGCCGGCTGCAAGAAATTAAGCAAGTTATACATTTCACCAATGTTGTTCTGAAGAGGGGTACCAGTCAACAGTACACGATGTTGGAAAGACAAGGAATTAAGCAAGCTGAAAAGCTTGCTTCCTGAATTTTTCAAACGATGACCCTCATCAACTATGAGAACTTCCCAGGGAACCCCACGGAGATGTGAGGAATCAGCAAGAACCATTTCATATGTAGTTAAAAGAACATTAAATTTATAAGCAGATGTTTTTTTATTCAATGCGTTCGGATCACTAGCATGCCATTCATACTGGCGAATAATGGCTCTTGCTTTAGCACAACCATGATATTCCACGACGTTCAACTCAGGAGCCCATAATGCGAACTCAGAAAGCCAATTGGGCATTGTGGAAAGTGGAACCAAGACTAAACAAGGCAGAGTGGCTTTGAACTCATAATATAATGACGAAAGAAAAGCACAAGCTGACACAGTTTTACCAAGCCCCATCTCATCAGCTAGTATTACATTCTTGGATTTATGCCAGCACTTCCGCAACCAATTGAGTGCTTCAAGCTGATGGGGAAACAATGACCCTCCCTTCAGTTCCTTAGGCTGCTCTGTCAGAGTAACTATTTCATTTTGCTGACAACTATCCCTCCCTCTTGAATCATCCTTAGAAGCATCTTTTTCCAGTGTTTGTTGCTCAAATTGTCTAAATAGATCGACCAGATTCTGAGAATTTTGAATGACAGGTTCATCCAATCTTTCCCAAGTGCATTCAATGTAAGAAAGACCATTCCATTTTATGAAAGCTTCACCTGAGCCATCTTTTAAACTACGGAGACCAATCACCCGCTGTGGTTGCTTCCATCGTTCCTCACAGATATTTATAACAGCAGTTCCATACTTGGCCTTGTAATTTTCTAGTTTTCTCTTGGCCAAGACTTTTAGCTCAGATTCAGAAACCCAACTATTATGAATGTTAGACTTACCCGTCCACTTAATTAAAAATTCATACAATACGGTCTCACAGCTACCACCTGAAGGTTCAGCCAGTGAGGAGGGCCCCTGACTTTTGTTTTGAGCGCTGCTATTAATTCCAGTTTCTGTATCTACATCTTTTTTGTCTTTGGTGTCAGGAGAGACGTGTGTTTCAATTTCTGGAACTTCATCATCATCATGACTTTTCAAACTAACTTTGGTAGTCTCCGCAGTCACTATTCTTTCATGTGTTTTTCCCGAATCATCTGCAGTTACAGCAGATTCATCTTGATCCTTACCATTTATGTTACCCGAATCCTTAGTACCCATCCTTGACACATCCATGGAGTTAGCTTTTTTACCTTCTTTGTTCATGGATCTTCTGTACACATTCATTTTGTCCACTCTAACATCATCCTTCATGCTTTCATCCCCATCAGCACCCTTGACAACATTTTCACAACCCTCAGTAAGATTTTCAGCAGCTCTGACATCCATGTCATTATCACAAGCAGAATTCCCATCTGATAATCTGGTTTGAGTATCTGAGACTTGCAAATCAACAGAACACAGATCATGAGCAGCTGCCACAGATAAGTGACGAGAGTCAGCATTATCACCTTGAACTCGACATCCCAAAACTCGATCAACCTGTGACACGGGCATACAAGAAACAAAATAATCTGTATGGTGATATTAAGTAACCAAAACAAGGAGCATATTGTCCATATATAAACCCGAATAAAAACATTCAATAAAATTCATTTTTTTACACAACATTCTAGGAAACTCATTTACCTGCAGAGGTTCAGCAGAAAAACTATCATTACAAATTAGTGTTTCAACTACATGACTTCCAGCTTTATCTACATTATGTGACGGGTCTTTTTCTCCCTCAGGAAGCTCCTGAAAAAAAAAACCACAATGATATTTACTACATATAACTATAAAGAAGGACAAAATCCCAGCATTAACAACTACAGCAGGAACATATATTTCCTAAATTAACCATAATAAACAGTAACAATAAGTCAGCATGATTATGAAAACTACTGAGAAGTCATCAACAACCAATGATGATCCCTACATATAAACAAGGGTTCAATATAGAATCAGAAAATTGAAAGATACCTCGTCTTTGTTCTGGACATCTGAATTCTTGATTTCAATGTCCTCTCTTGACAAGGATGCAGAAACCCCATGGTTGACAGATTTATGCTTACGAAGTGCTTTACCAATCCTCAGGCTTGCAGTACTTGCTTTAGATCCAGATTGTTTAGAAGTACTAACAGATTTTCCCTTATCGGTCTTCTTCTTTTTACTCTTATCGTTATTGCCTTTGTGTTTCCTTTTTCTGGCCTTGCCAGTGGTAGCACTGATCGCAAGAACTATGGTCTTACGTGGAGATGCATCAGTACAAGACAGGACAGGCTTCACCTCAGGACAGGCAAATTCCTCAGGAGCTTCTTCATTTGTCTCCGAAGCTGTAACTTTAGAATGAGATGAAACTTCTTTAGCAGGAGAGCTCAACTTTCTGTCTGTGGAATCATCTTCTGGGGAAAAGTTAGATCTTTTTTTATCGTCAACATTCTCACATGATGAAATACCGTCCACAGAACCACCAACTGTTGAATGACTCGGCTTGGTGCTACAAGGTATATCTATCTGGGAGAATGGTTTCTTTTCAAAGAATTTGATTCCATGAGTTAAAACAGTTTTTCCTTTGCTTGAGGATCTTTTCTTTGCAACAATAGAGTTTCCGAAAATCTGTGATACTTTTTCCCTGTCAGATGACGTAACTCCAGTTTTGGACTTCGCAGTGACACTCTTTGTTCTTGCTCGTTTTGAAATGGTATCCGCTAAATAGTTTATGGGCTCAAGCAGATCACTTTTCTGACAGCAAGTTGGGCATTGCCACTTCCCATTCGGAATGCGCTTCAGGTGATGAATTTCACAATAAATAATTTACAACAAAGAGAAAAACAAGAATGGCATATTAGTACAGCTAAACCGAAGAAAATGGATCATGAAAAAACAAGCTAGCACAGTGCAGTCAAAATAAATATACCTTAAGAGGTGGATTAAGACACTGGAGATGATAGGTTCGGGGGCAGCTATCACAACACAACAAGTTACCACCAAGGTCACAGATCACGCATTCATAGAAATACTGGGATTAGACAAAATATTGCATGAAGTCAGAGCATGCTTAATAAGAATTGATGTTACAGAATAGACATAACGAGCAGAATAACATATTTAACAGGATGAATGTTTTCACTTGTTCTCAAACTGCAGTGCCCTCATAAAAAGATTACACACACAACTATCCCGCTGAATTAGCAGGGAAGAGTACTGCCAAAATTTGCATAAACCTAAATGTAACAAGGTGGAATGTGGCATATAGAGTTCAGTGCTGGCCAAATTGGAACACAACTTCAAAAAAATTTAAAGAAGTTTGATTACAACAAAAGACCAAAAAGTGAATAGAAAAATAATGTCACAACCTGACCTAAAGTCCAACTTAAAAAGCATAGAACAATCATCACCCTAAAGCAAACATGAGACAGCTAATGTGCATAATATTTTGTACCCTGTAGGCAGTGTAAGCTGCACTACACATGCTGTTACTGTATTTGGGAGACCTTGCCGTCAGTCTTATAAACTAATATGTATTACCACCACGTATTGTGTCAAAAGACTCAACAGAAATGCAAACCCTAAAAACTCACGAGCCCACTTTTGTGTTTCTCTAAACCTTCAGCAGACCAGGAACCCTCAGTTCAGCAACTAAATTGTATTCTCAATAACATGTTCTAAAATAATAGTTCCCATTTCTGTCACTTGGACTCTTCCATTGATAAAACCTCTGACGTTTATCATCCACATATAATGTGACCCAGGAATAAATTTAACTTTAGGCAGACTAGATTGGTTCCATTTTCATGGCTATTCAAAACATTGGGCTGCTGTTCCTTAAAGAGCTTCGTATGGTATTTCAAATCACAAAAACATGCATGCACCTGAGAGATGACTTAAGTAGGTAGGCTGCTGAATAAATTTCGTATGGAGAATTGGAAACCACATGTTGTAAATGTTTGAATTAAAACACCACCACCATAAACAAAGATCAGACTAGAGTGACTGAAGAATAATATCAAAAAACTAACTGGAAACCAAATTACCACCCTATGATAAAGTTATTCCAGTGAGGATTTGCTTTATGAATTCTTCAGATTAAATAAAAACGGTAGACCAATTAATCAATTATATAAAAACTGACCCCGTCATTTCCTTTCTTCTTGGATGAAAATCGATCAGAAACTATTTCATTATTCAGCCTGCGCTTAACTGAAGAGGAAGTCTTCCTTGGAGATTCCGAGGCTGCCGAACCGTCTTCTTTTCCATTAGATATATCAGGTCCATGAGGAAGCTTTCTACGTTTTCGTTTCAAGACCCAATTTCTGTTAATCATTTTACTCGGCGAAGAACTGCCTTCCTTCATCTTTTAGTCTTCGGTCCTACATATGTGGTCAACAGTGACAGCAAGCATGTCGATGAATTAGTCAAGGCATCGGAGCTTCCACACACGTATTCAGGCACTGCAAATTTTCACATTAACAGTTAATGTTAACATAAAGAGAACAACTTTATATAAACTACAGTAAATTTGTCAAGGAAAATGGATGCAGGTGACTGAGCGGACCAAAATTTAGATTCAGTAGAGCTAAGCAAATTCAATCAATATTTTGGGACATATAAAAACGAATTATTTAACTGCTACCAAGGGTCACAGTAAAGGCTCCCCACTAACTCAGCCTTAAGATCTGCTACAAAAGTGCTACTCACTGAAATCTCATATGAGATAAACAGTTATAAGGTACATTGCCAAATGCCAACTTCGGAGCATCATCAGCTAACAAGACAATCTAGTGAGACCTACAAACGGCAAACAGAACTAGTTTATGTACTGTAACATTAGTGCTAAGTCCGACATACTATAGACCCAACAATTGAACGATTGAACCATCTTTTCCAAACTATCACTTATCAAATGCCCAATGCAATCTACCAAAGTAGTGATAGAATTAACAATCAAACAAAAGAACTTAATCATGCAAACACATTCAACTACTGCCAAACACAAAACCCCATTTCACCACCTATTCATGACTTCTAACACAATTTAGAAAACCAATACGCCACTATACAAGAACACCAACCATTCCACATCAATCAAAGCTTAAAAACACAATCTTTCAAGAATCAAACAAAACCCACAACAGAATGAGCAAGAAAGCACACATGGGTGAGTTGGAAGTCACACGAATTCACAAACCCAAAACATACCAACCAGGAAATGAGCAAGAACCAGAGAAACAAAGAGTGCCCAGATGAATTAAGAAGCTTACCAATCAAGTAATGGATCAAAAACCCAATATACAGAGCAAAAGAGCCAGATAGCTAGATTGAGATAAAGAGCTGACGAGGTAGGGGAGGTAGGGGAGGTGGGAGAGGTTTAGGGCATGGAAGGCAGGCTGTGAGAGATACGAGAAAGAGAGAGAAAGCGAAGGGAGACAAATTAAATAAATAGAGAGGAAAGAGATAGTTTTTGTTTTTCCAATCTTATTAATTTTCCTTTTTAATTTTTTTAGAGAGAGAAAGTGTGAGACTTTTAGAGAGAGAAGCATACAAATACGGATTCGCCGGGGTCATAGGGACGGGGTTACACTCTGACATGGCAGGAGAGAGAGAGAGAAGAGAGAGGAAGTGGTGCTCTTGTTCTTGTTTTGGTTGATGTTGTTGTTGTTCTTGTAGTTGAAGCTCAACACCATTCAAAACTTGCCACGTGGCAACCCCAGAGACTCTTCCTCGCTTTCTCTCGCTGCCCATATTCTCCCTTTTTCTTTCTTTTCCTCATTCTGTCTCTCTTTGCTTTGCTTTGCTTTTTCTCTCTTCCGCCACATAACTCTTCTGCGATATATATGTGTACACATTAGAGAGAAAAAGTGCTTAGAGAGATGGAAGGAGGGAGAAGGACGTCTTTCCCTCTTTCTATTCCATTCTCATGATCACTCAATTGCTAGCTGGTTTTTGAATGGAGTGTCTGTTTTTTTTGGTTTCTCGAACTTTTTCTTCACCTGCAGCCTTCTCTTTCTTGCTTTTTTCTTTTTTGCTCAGCTTTTGCTTACTATGTTATAAAAATTATAAATAAAAAAAGGAAAAAAAGAATGAGATCTAATGAGGACTGACTTGTTAGTGTATAGTTTTGGAGGAAATCCACAAAAAGGGTATGAAATCCCATCTTGAGACAGCTAAACAGTTCAGAAATAGTTAATTATGTGGGGGAATAGATCACGAATCTTTATAATTAGGATTTGGCTTTACTTGTTTGAGGAGGTAAAAACAAGTTTAAGTATGTCAACCCAAAAAAAGGACAAGTTTTTGTTTTAGGGATGAATATTTTGAACATGGAATTGGAATTTCAAATATACATGCAATATGCAGGTGGTTGTTTGCTGTATTTGGATACAAATTTAATTATAGATTCTTTCCTTTTTTTTTGTTCTTTTTAATTATAGCCAACAAATTAAATGTTCACGATACACTTGTTAATAGTTTTCCGAGTTTTGATGAGGAAGTGGTGTTTAAACTATGCACCGAACGTGATAAACTGCGTCTATGCTCTGTCCCAAAGTGCTGGAGTACTAACGAAACACGGATCAACCAAAACTTAAAGCAAAAGAGACTTGTCATTATTGTTATCCAACGAGAGTTTTTTTTCTTTTCTATAATAGCGAGAGTTGTCGTTACTACATAAATGACACACGTGACATGTAGAACAACTACTTACTAAATTTGCATTTATTCAATGATAATTTTATGTTTTTAAAATTGTTGTCACTAGGGGTGGGCGTGGTCCAGTTCGATTTTCACCTCATATTAGAACCAAAACTATTCAATAGGTGCAGTTCGGTCTGATTTTGGTGAAATATTTTTATGAAATCAGCCAATCTGGTTTAAACCAATTTCGGTGCGGTTTTCAATTTTTTCGATTTCAGACTGGATATATATATTTTTTATATATATTTCTCTTTTTTTTTTTTTTTTTTACAAATTCCAACTAAAATTTTATTTTGTTGGCTTAAAAATTCACAAATGATTCAATTTCTAAAGAGAGATTATTGGGCCTAGAAAAAAAAGGTGTTTTGAAGTTGGGCTTGGGAAAATCTTAGTTATGAGATTAGAAATTTAGCATTGGACTTAAATACGCTGTTAGTCCGGTCCGTTCCGATTTTGTAAGGTGTGAAACCGGCACCAGAACTGGTTTGAACTTGTATGATTCATTTAGGTGCAGGCTTGTTAACTTTTTAATCAACATGGTTTTTTTTTCTTATGTTTTTCCATTCGATGCGGGCTCGATATTCCGATTTTCCGGTCTCGATGCCCACCTTATCACTAAAGTTGTGTTCATGTTGACACCAACAAGCAAAGAAAAACAACGAAATCCATCTTCATTTCAGTTGTAAGTTTAAGTTTATGTGATTTGAAGAAACTTGTGCATTTATTCTTTAAAGTTAGCCCTCGCCATGGATGAGAGTAAGAATAAGGGCTCGTTTGGGAGTGCTTTTGGAGCAGCGAAAAGCGCTTCTAAATGGGTGAAAGCGCTTCTATCTTTTAAAAATGGTGTTTGGCAAAAATTGCAAAAGCGCTTTGGGTGAGATCCAAAAGCACTTGGAGTGGTTTTGGAAGAAGCACTTGAGAGGTGCTTCTTCTCAAAAGCGCTGTAGGACAAAAACACGGGAAGCACTTGGCTCCCTTTAATGAAACTTTTAAAATGCCGAAAATACCCATATTTAATTTTTTTAAATGCCAAAATACCCTCTCTCTTTTTCTCTATCCGCGAAAGGCCCAACAGACACCAAAACACAGCTTCTATTCCATCTCTCTCACACACACTGCTAACTCTGGTCGGCAACGAAGCTTCATCCTCATCACTCTTCAGCAACACCCTTCTTCTTCTTCTGCCTTCTTCTTCTCAGACCTTTTTCCACCATTTCCAGTTCCCAAACTTCCAGACTAAGTTAGAACTTTGAAAAAATCCCCAAAGAAACCTCCCTATATAAATGAAGCCTTGAAAAACGTTGTGATCATATATGCCTGCATTTATTATCTTCGCAACAATAAACAGCTTCAGTTTAGCTTCTTTAGCCTTGAAATATACCAAAAACACATCAACCCGAGACAGAAAATAAGGAAAGAAAGTGAAAGGAGCAAGCAACCCAGAAAGACAGAACCCACTTGAGCTTTTCACATAGACAGAGAGACAAAAGACAGAGAAGCCGACCCTTTACAGGCGCATATCTCATGTTTATTTTTCTTGTTTGATTTTTTTGGTGTTTTCCCTTTTGCTTAAATTTATGGTTTGTTTGTCTATTTGTTGCCTCAGTCACTCCCTCGCTCACTACTTTCAAATTTCAGCACATATATACTTTCCATATATTTTGATTGAAATTGAATGAAAAGGAAAAAGACAGATGCATTAATGGAAAACATATATGGCTTTGTGAGAGATTAAAATACTGGGAAGGGTTGTCAATGCTATAAAGCGCTTATACTATGTCAACCAAACACTCAACAAAATATCAAAAGCGCTTTTATGTAGTGCAAAAGCACTTTTAAATGTGATATCCAAACGACAAACTGCTTCTTTGTAGAAGTGCTTATGTCATAAGTGCTACTAACATAAGCGCTACTGGCATAAGCGCTTTGGGAAGAAGCACTCCCAAACGAGCCCTAAGTAAACTGTTTAATCCGTTTAAACGTAACTATAAAAAGGCCTTGTGGGAATCCTCTTTAACAACATCATTTTATTTTTTTCACTTAATTTTTCTTTTTATTTTCGTTTTAACCAAAAATTGAAACCAGAAGACAAGCGGTTGCAATTTTGTTATTATTTTTCATACTTTGAAATAAAAACAACAAATAAACAAAATGGATCAAAGCCGTGTGGATTTTGTAGTTGTCGCTATAAAGCCCAACCCGCCAAAGCTTGGAAAGTCCAGGCAAAGTCTGCCCCATTTCCCACCACACAATTTCAAGTCCACTGAACCACAACACCCAAAGAAAACTGGTGGTTACCAATTAACGGTCGAAATTCCAAAAACACTTCCAGTCTTCATCACTATCTCTCACTCTCTGGCTCTTCAGTCACAAACCCACTTCCTCTCACACCTCCATGATCACCTGCAAAGCTTCAAAGTTCAACCATGGAGCTCCCTCTCCACTCTACACTTCCAAAAGAGGCCTTAAACATGCACAATTTTACAGGACATGCCACACTCCGCACAACAAGAAGTGCATGGTCTTTTCTTCCTTAGCAGATGGACCCAGATGGAATCAGTACCGCCATTTCACAGGCAACAACAATAAGAATGGCAGCAGCACTGTTTACAAGAAACCCAGAAACTCAGAAGAGGCAGAGGAAGAAGGAGAGAGAAAGGTCCATTGTGAAGTGGACATGATTTCATGGAGGGAGCGCCGAATCAAGGCCGAAATTTCGGTGAATGCCGATATCGATTCGGTTTGGAACGCTCTCACTGATTATGAGCGTCTCGCTGACTTCATTCCCAATCTTGTTTCCAGGTACTGCCTTCAGTGATTTTTTTTAAAGATTTAATTTTTATCAGTTTATCAAGTGACCCTTTTGTTTAATGCTTGTGGTTGTAGTGGGAGAATTCCATGTCCACATCCAGGGCGTATATGGTTGGAGCAGAGAGGGTTGGAGAGGGCACTGTATTGGCATATTGAAGCTCGGGTTGTTTTGGACCTTCAAGAATTTCCTAACTTAGTGAGTGTCTAAATTAAAACCCAATTGTTGTTTCTTAATGAATTTGGTTAAATATGGTGGATAGGGAACAAATTCATTTCCTATATGTATGTGGGTTTGGTGCTATTGTCTAATATGCTAGTGGGTTGCTTTGAAGTTCTTATGCTTGCTTCTTTGTAATTTGCTATTGTTTATTTTTTTAGAGTGATAATGATCGTGAGCTCCACTTTTCCATGGTTGATGGGGACTTCAAGAAGTTTGAAGGCAAATGGTCTGTTAGATGCGGGACAAGGTGGGATAGAAGTACTCAGTTTGTAAGATAACGTTGTATTACTGAAGTTGTGTTGTATTTTCTAATTTTCTCATTTCTCACTGATGATTGCAGGTCATCATCAGCAATTTTATCATATGAACTTAATGTGATACCACGATTCAACTTCCCAGCCATTTTCTTGGAGAGAATAATCAGATCAGATCTTCCTGTGAATCTTCGTGCCTTGGCCTGTAGATCTGAAAAGACTTTTTTAGGGGATCAGAAGATAACAATAACAGAAAGTTCCCTGCCTAGCACATTCATGGCTGTTACTAGTTCACCCCCCAAAAACATCGATGGTTCTTTGTGTGAAAAGGATTATCCACTTAATGAGTTTAAAGAAAATGTTGCTGGCTCTAATTCTGGTTCATTGCCCCCATCTTCTACTGAGTTGAACAGTAACTGGGGTGTTTTTGGAAAAGTATGCAGACTTGATAGGCCTTGCTTGGTGGATGAGGTTCATCTTCGTAGATTTGATGGTCTATTGGTAAAAAATTGACCCTGGACTATTCAACCTAGCCTTTTTGTCCTAGAGAGAGCCTCTTCTGTGTAGCAATTAATGATAAAATGATTTTGGCTGAAGGAAAATGGAGGTGTTCATCGCTGTGTTGTTGCTAGCATAACAGTAAAAGCTCCTGTTCGTGAAGTATGGAATGTTTTGACAGCTTATGAAAGTCTTCCTGAGTAAGTAATATCTACTCGTTTTTGTGTTGAGTTATGCATCTATATACATAGTTGATATAAGCAGTTCCCACTCTGGCTAGTTTTTAGACTGCTTATAGTTAGACAGGTAATCTTTTGGAAAGCCAAATGAAGAGGTTGGTAGAAAGATCAAATCATAAGTAAATAAAAAAGGAATTAAAATGAATTAGAGAAATGTGAAGATATATCACAAGCTTTAATCAGCTAAGCAGCTGATTTGAGACTTAGCATAGGGTACAAGGGTGTTCAAGTTTGTTGGAGTTAATGGGATATTAGTTAGAATTGTCTCTGATATACTTATATACCAATGATAGAATGTAGTTCCCCAACCATAGTGGTAAGTTGGTTATAAGATTGTACTTTGCCTTTGCTTCGTGTCTTGTCTGCTGTAGTAAAATCATATGTTCATTGAAAAAGTATTCATATATAACACAAATGAGAAGTAACGAAACAAAGGTATTCTATTAGTTTCTGCAAGTTTGTTTTACGATTGCTTTCATCTACCTGATTCTTTTTGCATGTGAAATTAAACTTTGTCAGGATAGTCCCAAATTTGGCAATCAGTAGGATATTGTCAAGGGAAAACAACAAAGTCCGCATTCTTCAGGTACTAGCAGTCTTTCCATTAACTGTGAACTAAGACCATACTTTTTCTTAAGAGTCTTTTTTAATTTTGGGATCAGATAATGTGTCTCATCTCTAAATGTACATTTTGTGGATCTTATTAGTTAATAAAGAGGTTAATCTATAGCTCTAGCTGTATAAATAGGCACTCTGATCCTTAAAAAATGGTGCTAAAGATATGTCATTGTAATACTCTTAACTTAAGTGATGTGAGAGTGCCAATCATCTTAGAAGTCATACACAAGTTAACTTACTTTTCCTGTAATGTGCAGGAAGGATGCAAGGGCTTACTTTATATGGTGCTTCATGCGCGTGTTGTCCTAGACTTGTGTGAACAGCTTGAACAGGAGATAAGTTTTGAACAGGTTGAAGGGGACTTTGACTCATTTAGAGGTAAATGGGTTTTTGAGCAGCTAGGAAGTCATCACACACTGTTAAGGTACTCTGTGGAATCGAAAATGCGCAAGGATACTTTTCTTTCTGAAGCCATCATGGAAGAGGTTTGTGTTATTTGTGCAATCATTAACCATCTCTTTCTATATTAACTTTAATAATTTATCCACATTAAACCCAACTCGTAAATACGAGATCAGTCCGCATTCCATGTTTGATCTAAAATTACATGTTGAGCCTTGAAAAGGACAAATCTATTGATATCTATTTGTCATGTCATCGTAGGTTATATATGAAGATCTCCCTTCAAATTTATGTACCATACGAGATTATGTAGAAAAGAGGGAGGTGGCACACTCAATGAAAGCATGCGATGAAAGTATATATAGGGAGGAACAAACCGCTTCATCTAGCACAGACCGTGATGATGAAAATTGTATAACAGTTGATCGGCTTTCTGATACCAATGCTCCAAGTTCATCTAGGCAAAGGCCGAGAGTACCAGGCTTGCAGAGGGATATTGAAGTGTTGAAAAGTGAGCTCCTGAAATTTATTTCAGAGCATGGGCAGGAAGGATTTATGCCCATGAGAAAGCAACTTCGTTTACATGGAAGGGTAGATATTGAGAAAGCAATCACACACATGGGTGGATTCCGGAGGATTGCAACATTGATGAACCTCTCTCTTGCTTATAAACATCGAAAACCAAAGGGCTATTGGGACAACCTTGATAATTTGCAGGAAGAGGTAGGCGCTGTAATCATAACGTGTGCTAAATCTCTTGTTATAGAAAAAAGGAAAAGAGCTCAAACTCCCTGGTTTAACAGAGTTCCATTTTACATACAGATTAATCGATTTCAGAGGAGCTGGGGAATGGACCCTTCATTCATGCCCAGTAGAAAGTCATTTGAGCGTGCAGGTAAGAAATGACCAACAACATGAAGATTGTTGTATTGTACATGCTACTGATTTGTTACTCCTTTTGTTTGATTTCCTTATTCTTATTTTTTTTTTAAATTTCATGTAACTGGACAAGATTTGAACCTAAGACTTACCTCAAACCACCAAGTCACTTTACCCTTGAGGCAAGGCCTAGGACTTGATACAAGGAGATTATGATATCATATTTGGTTAGATGGTTTACTGTGGCATAGCCATTGCATGTTTGAGAGGGACATAACAGTCCACAGCTAGCCAGACCTAGTTTTTCCTTGTCTTCTTGTTTCTGCTACAATTTGTTTACTAGGAACCTAGGTTGTTTCACCTCACTAAGTAAATACTATTCTTTGTATCTTCCTATAAAACCAATTTTGTTTTCAACATTTTACAGGGCGCTACGACATTGCTCGTGCATTAGAAAAGTGGGGAGGCCTTCATGAGGTTTCACGTCTACTGTCGCTCAAGGTGCGGCACCCTAATCGACAGCCGAACCTTGCCAGGGATGTAAAACTTGATTATGTGGTATCAACTGATGTAGAGGGAGAGAAGGTGGCACCATATAATCCCTATGTATCTCAAGATACACAAAAGTGGATCTCAGAACTAAAACATTTGGATATTAATTGGGTTGAATAGAAAAGCATTTCATTTTTCTGTCTCTCTTGTTCACAAAACCTTTGATTTGTCATTCATCAGATGAAAGAATGTAGATCCTCCAGTATTCAGTGGATGAGTCAACTGAGCATGTTCTTTCTATTCATCCTGGACTTTACCAGTAAAGTTCTAGTTTCACCGAGAGCAGGATATTCATGCATCTGTTGGGCACAAATTCTGCAGAAAGTTGTGAAAAAAAGTGTAACATATTTGAGGGATGATACATCTAGCTGTTCTTCAAGCAGTTATCTAATTCTAGTTGCTTGGTTGATGGTGAGCTCATCCTCATGGATGTTAAGAAAAAAAAATTATATACAGAAGTCTAAATTAAAAGTTCATAATTTCATATTAATTAAAACTACATGTTTTGAAGGAATAATTTTCCTTCTTCTCTCTCATGCTATCAGCTACCCAAGAGACATACCTTATCTTTTGTTTTTTGGACGAAAAAGAGACATACCTTATCAATATAAGAGTTAGGATATATACTGTGTGGCTATACGAATAAAATACGTGCGTGTTTTATTTGACAAATTACAACTTAAAAGTTCGGCCATTATATAATATATATAATTTTTTTAATATATATTATTTGTATTCAATAATATGTGATAATACATGTATTAAACATGAAAAATATGTACGTACATGTTCAATATGAGTATTGTACGTTTGCTTCTAAAAAAAAAAAGCGAAATTTATCGAGTTTTTATGACGTATAAAAAACCCATATGTATTATTGAAATATAGATATGTATGTGTATAATACAGTATTAAATGTGAAATTGCTAACTTCTTTATACGGATAATAACTCTGGAAAAGTAAAAAATCAAAAGGGGACAATAGAGACTCGGGTAATGGCCTAATAGTAATGGATAATGCTCTAAACCACTCCTATCGATAAACGAAAATCTGGGAAAAAATATGAAAGAAAAAGAGGATCCTAGTATGTATATATTTAAAGAGTATAGTCACTCGGCTATACTATTTATTATAAAAAATAAAAAATAAGAGCCCAGTATAGCTGGGCGGCTATACTATTTCTTTTAAAACAAATTAAAAAATACGAGTATCGCCGAGCAGCTATACTATTTCTTTTTGAAAATTTAGTTTAAAACCGAGTTCAGCTGCGCGGCTACACTATTTGTTTTTAAAAAAAATTGGAAAAAATCGTGTATAGCCGAGCGGCGATACTATTTCTTTTTTTTTTTAAAAAGGAAAAAACCGAGTATAGCCGCGCGGCGAGACTATTTATTTTTAAAAAATTGGAAAGAAGCTATACTATTTCTTTTTGAGAAATTATAAAAAAAACCTAGTATTGCCGATCGGCTATACTATTTCTTTTAAAAAATTTGGGAAAAATCAAGTATAGCCAGGCGCTGATACTATTTCTTTTAAAAAATTGGAAAAAACCGAGTATAGCCGCGCGGCTATATGTGATTTATCGAAAAGGGTTATTCGCAGCAATGGTCCCTCAACTATACCCGTAGTTACACTTTGGTCTATCAATTCAATTATTAGTTGCCGGGGTCACTCAACTCTGTGTTTCGTTGCACCAGCAGTCCTTCCGTCAAGTCCGTTAGTTTTTTCCGTTTAAAATGATGACGTGGCAAGCATCTGTGAGAATCTTATAGATTCGTGAGGGGCAAATCTGACTTTTCAGTTAGCCTTCTTCAGCTCCAATCTCCCCCACCTTAGCCGCCTCCAAGCCTTCAAACCCAGCTTAGTCGTTCAAGGGCTGGTCTGCAGTTTTCGTGTTGTGCACAATCTGCAGTTTTCAATTTGGGGGTTTGTTTCACTCCTGACACCTGACAAATTCTCCACCGTCAGATTCCATCTCAACAAGCATAGATCCAAACCCATAGACCCAGCCCCCCTCCCCCATCACAGATCCAAACCCATCCTCCCCCTACTCCCCCGCCGTTTTCTTCTCCCCTCTTCTCCCCCAATTCCTCCATAACCAGAACCTGCAAGCTCCAACCCCCAAACGAACCCAGAACCCACAGACCCAACCCCCCTCCTCCATCACAAATCCAAACCCATCCTCCCCCTACTCCCCCGCAGTTTTCTTCTCCCCTCCCTTTTTTTGCCCCCCTAAACTTTTGAATTCGAATTCACACCATTTGGAATTGAATTTAGAGACAAGCATACAACCCACGCAATCAGACCACCATACCCACTCTCCGACGACGACAAACCCAGCCATAACCCCAACAGCAACCCCGAGTGGCTTCGCCTACCCCCTCACCCTCTCTCCATCTCCGACCTCGCTTTCCACCATGTAAGAATCGTACAGTTTACAAGTTTCAATTTTGTTTGTATTCGCCGTCGTCTATGCCAGGGAGCTGAGAGACAGAGAGTTACAATGAGGATGGGTTTGTGGTAGGCCTCATCATTTGGCCCGTGGGCTCATGGGCCGATGGGGGCCCGCCCGGCCCATCGAAAAAAAGCCCGGCCCGGCCCGTTATGGGCTTTGAGGTGGCCCGGCCCGCCTTGGGTCGGGCCGAGCTTGGGCTTGAGTGTTTGAAGCCCGGTCCGACCCATAGGCCCGGCCCGATTAGGCCCAAGAAAGCCCGGCCCGTTAGGCCCGCATACATATATAATTATGTATAAATAAGAGTTTAGGATTAGGATTATATCACTTAAATCACATATATAATTTGTTTCATTTCATTTACTTTTCTTTACTCATTCCTAGTTTTATAATTGGATGATTAGCACATTTATTTAATTTGTGTCAATTATTAATACAACAATTATATATATATAAATAAGATGAACAACATATCATATCACCAAATATAATCATATCACGAAACATAATCGTACCATCAAATATAATCATGCTTTTTGAACACATCACCAAACATTTGCATATTAGCTGAGAGACAGAGAGTTACAATGAGGATGGGTTTGTGGCTAGGCATGGGGCGGAGAAGGTTTGGAGATACGGTGTGGTGGCTGGGATGAGGGGGGGCTTGGGAGGTAGGTGATTTGGGTTTGGAAGTACAACAATGGCGGAGGGTTGATGGCAAGGAGTTATGCGAGTATGGAGGAATTGAAGCGGGCGCTAGACGCCAGGCGAGCCTTTTTCATTTTTCATAAATAGTATAGCCGCGCGGCTATACCATTATTTGGGTTTAATGGATGAATTTGGGTTTTTGGTTATTTATTATTTGATTCTTGTGGATGAATTTCCGAATTTACCCTCACTTTTGACAGAAAATTTAAATAGTATAGCCGCGCGGCTATACCATTATTTGGGTTTAATGGATGAATTTGGGTTTTTGGTTATTTATTATTTGATTCTTGTGGATGAATTTCCGAATTTACCCTTACTTTTGACAGAAAATTTAACAGACTTGACGGAAGGACTACTGGTGCAACAAAGCACCTAGTTGAGTGACCCCGACAACTAATAATTGAATTGATGGACCAAAGTGTAACTACGAGTATAGTTGAGGGACCATTGCTGCGAATAACCCTATCGAAAAAACCAAGTATAGCCGCCCGACGATACTATTTCTTTTAAAAAAACCGGGTATAGCCGCGCGGCTATACTATTTCTTTAAATAAAAATTGAAAAAACCCAGTGCAATACTATTTCTTTTACATTATCACAACACAGATAGAGTCTCAACAAAGAAAAGAAAAAATCTCTTATGGACGGCTGAGCTGTATGTGAGAGTGACTAAAGTGCATCTCAATCGTTGATATATATATATATATGATTCAATAATTTGCATGCAAGTTTTAGTTAGATTGTCAACTTCTTTTTCTTAGAGACAGATATTCTCACCCCAAATAGCTAAAACTCCCACAAATTTGGTGAGCGTGAAATTTACAAAATTACCATATAAGTTGTACAAAATTTCCAATTAGGGTAAAATGAGGTGCGTATAACACTTTAGCAGGTGCATCTAGTAGAAAAAGCACACCCGATTCCAGTAGAAAATCCAACCAGATTTTGGGTCATATGTACACATGTTCTTTCTAAGTTCTTCACACAGTAACCAAGTACTGTTACAGCACATCCAAAGCCTGACAAGGAATATCCCCCTCCAAGTGGACAGTGTTGTGCACGAGCTCCTACAGCGCGTGGGCTCTCCATAACAAAAATAGAAAATTTAAAAAATCAAATTTTCTTTTTTTGCTGTGGAAAATAAAAAAATTCGTTACCGTTCTGAGGAAGCCGTAAATTTCCAAAATCTTCTTTAAAAAACAAAGAAAAGAAATGTGAAAAAAGAGAGTCTTTGAGCTCACAGAAAGTTTCAACTAGCCGCATAAACAGAGAGTAACACAGAGAGAGAGAGAGAGAGAGAGAGAGGGGGGTATTCACAGTCAGTGTTTGTGTTCTTTATTGATCTATGTTATTGTTTTCGAAGGTAATTATTATGTTAATTTTCTTCATTATTGTTTTTTGCGATCAGTTTTGTGTTCGTTTCACCCATTATTGTATTACTGTACTAATTTCAGCTGGATCTCTTACAAGCTATGGTCTTTTTTGTTATTTTGGGATTTTGATGTTCAATTTTGAGCTGATTTTGTGTGAATTTGAATGGGTCGGAGTTCATATGCTGAAAATCTTGCCTGATTGTTGTGAATTTTGGTTTTTTGGTTTTTATGTTTATGTCAACTCGAATAGGGTTTTTTTTTTTGGGTTTGATTCTGTGGGTTTTGGATCTTGAATATGAGTTGCATGTCGGTGACTCAAAATCTAGCTCAAGTCTTCTTAGTCTTTCTAGTCTACCGATTTTCTGATTTAGTCAATTTCACAAGTAATTTCATGAAATTCTCCAATTTTATTGAGACAGTGTTAATAGCAGTTATTCTTATTTTTCAGTATTATTATGGGGAAACCGAGCTGTATACTTGTTGAAACGGTTTGCATGCTGAGAAAATGAATGAAAAAGATGATATGGATACAAATGGGTACAATGGAAGTCATATTTATAGTTGTTGATGCAGTTGTAAGTTGATCAAACAATGTGAATTGTGGAATATCTTTTGGATCCCAATTGGGTTGATTTATCGTCTGTTTGGTCACTGAAAATAAAGAAGGAAAAAGGACATGATATTTCAAAGCTTGTATCTGTATTGCTTTAAATCATCTCGAAAAAGTAGAAATATCCTCTAAAGTGACTTTTTTTACAACATTTTCATTGTTCAGAGAAGCCTGTTTCAAAGTGTATCAAGGTGCTTCAAGTATATATGTGAATATCAGTGCATTTCTGAAATTAGATAATTATGAGAGGTTGTTAGGTTAAAATGTTTGAGTCTGTAGTTTGTTCTTTAGACTTGATTATCTATATATGGATTCACTGGTTTGTTTCTCAAATCATTGATGAGTTTTGAACTCAAATTGAATAATTTGTTCAAGGTGCTTCAAGTCTTTTGGCTTCTGTCTTGTTGGAGAAGGTTGTTTTCTTATACATTGCTCATGCTTAGAGATTATCCTTCTGGTTGACTGATCTAGTGATTCCTCATTTACTCCCTTAGGTTCCTAATTAAGGACTGCTTCATTGGAAGAATGTATTCTGATAGCAAAGATTGCAGTTGGCTACCCATGGGAGCATGCTCATGTGTCATATTTACTGCTTTGTGGCGTGGCTGTTTATCCAGGTGAAGTTAGACCACATGGATAGAAAATTGGGTAAAGGTACAATGGATCAACAGAAAAACTACGAGCAAGTTCGATACAGTACTGTTGAAACTAGAAATGAGGGACATGGGTCTGCCAATCAAAGGTTTTTCCCGGATCCATCAAGTAATATTAACACTAACATGCGACCTCCAGATTACAATGTTGCTGTTGGAGCCAGGCCTGTGTTGAATTACTCCATTCAGACCGGTGAGGAATTTGCTCTTGAATTTATGCGGGAGAGGGTGAACCCAAGGCAGCATTTAGTTCCACATGCTTCGGGGGATCCTAATAGCTCTCCTAACTATATGGATCTAAAAGGCATACTGGGTATTAGCCATACAGGTTCAGAAAGTGGGTCTGATATTTCTTTGCTGAACTCAGTAGAAAAAAGTCGTGTTCAGGAATTTGAAAGAAAGGCATCTTATGCACATGAAGATAAGAGTTACTATGATTCGGTACGGTTACCACAAACCTCATCAAGGAATGACATCAATCGAGGACTCAGTCATATCTCTTCAGGACTATCTGATAGCTCAGTGAGAAAACTGAAGTTTCTCTGTAGTTTCGGTGGTAAAATTTTGCCTCGTCCTAGTGATGGAAGGCTTAGATATGTCGGAGGTGAAACACGTATTATCCGGGTAAACAGGGATATCTTTTGGCAGGATCTTATGCAGAAAATGTTGACAATTTATGAACAAACTCGTGCAATAAAGTATCAGCTTCCTGGTGAGGATCTTGATGCACTTGTTTCTGTTTCTTGTGATGAAGATCTGCAAAACATGATGGAGGAATGCACTGTGCTACAAAATGGGGGATCACAGAAACCTAGGATGTTCCTGTTTTCCAGTCTTGATTTGGAGGATTCTCAGTTTGGTGTAGAAAGCATAGATGGTGATCCTGAGATGCAATATGTAGTTGCTGTAAATGGTATGGACCTAGGTTTAAGAAAAAATTCTATTGCTTTGGCAAGTTCTTCTGGCAACAATTTGGAAGAGTTACTCGGTCTAAATGTTGCAAGGGAGAGCACTCGAGCAGTGCCTGATACAGCTGGTGCTAGCACAACACCGTCAGCAGCAAATGTGCCTTCCTCAACTAATCAATCATCTCAATCGGTAGTTCCAGGATCTTCAGGTGCTTATGAATCCAATTCACACCCATACCAGGGACAGAAGATGCACAGTGGAGAAGCGAGACAGCATCCACTGACAACTTTCCACGCTGTGGAGAGCTTCCCTGGGAAAGATGGACAGAGTACTGTGCCCAGTACTGTGCCCTCTTCTGCTCCATTGCAATATGATTTTGGTTCTCACCCTTCTCACTATGCAACGCCTGGAGGGAACATAGATTCAATGGCTATATATGGACAATCCACTCAACAAGGGGGTTTGATTGAAGAGCAGCTATATGGTGGCATACACGGGCAAGATTCAGAATTGCCCAGAAAGGAGGTGAAATTGAAAAGAGATAGCTCAGCGCAAAAGATAAATGAACCTGAGAAAATTCAATCTTTAGAGAAGGAAGCTCCACTAAAGGAAGCAAGAATGAAGAGAGAGAACTCTCTCCATAAGATAAATGAAAGTGATAAACTTAGGAATTTAGAAAATGAGAACGCTGTTTCTCTACCTCCATATGATGGTTCAGTTGCCAATTCAGCAGCAGAGACAGGATCATCTCTGGTGGCTACAAGAAGCAACAAAAAGCTCCAGGAACCTCGACAAAATCCAATTACCTCTGAAGATGTAAATGACGGGAAAAGGAACAATGAAGATGACCAATTCAACACATCGAGTGGACCGTCTAATCCTGGATATGGTGGCTCTGAGGTTGATTCCAGATATGGTGGCTCTGAGGTTGATTCTATGGACTTTAGCTACCTTGAACCGCCTGTGGCTCCCCAGCATGTCTATCATTCTGAGCGTGATTCTATGGACTTTAGCTACCTTGAACCGCCTGTGGCTCCCCAGCGTGTCTATCATTCTGAGCGGATCCCCAGGGAACAAGCAGAATTGAACCGTTTGTCAAAATCTGGCGATTCTTTTGGTTCTCAGTTTATGATAAGTCAGGCACGTTCTGATCACTCACAACCAATTGCGGACTCTGTTGATAAATTGCATGATGAAAATGTTCCTTTGCAGTCTGAGCAGTCTGGCTTACCTTCAAAACTACTGCATGTTGAAGATGGACTGGCACAATTTGAAAAGTATAAAGAATTTGCTGAAAATATTAACAAAATGAATACTGATGCTTATCATGAGGGGCTTGAGTCAAAGGTACAAACTCCTGACTTGAGACATGTAGCTGTTAATTCTGTGGATGGCCATGAAATGGGCCGGCTAAAAGATAACTACAAAGACCCAACTATCAATGATAAAGAAGTGGCTGCACGGACTCAACTGACTGCTGGTCAAGAAACTTCTGGTAAGCTTAAAGATTCTGCTTCAGTTCCATCTGAATTTGAATGGACTGAGGTTGCCGCCAATAAGGACCAAGGGAATAATGCCGAGGGTCAAGCGCATCCATTGTCTTGGACAGAGAACCCAGCTAAAGGTGTTGCTCATGGTGAGTCTACTGCTGGGGTTGGTAACCCAGAGCAGGGAGATATTCTCATTGATATTAATGACCGATTTCCTCGTGATTTCCTGTCTGATATATTTTCCAAGGCTAGAATCTCAGGGGACCTTTCTGGCATGAGTCCACTTCCTGGGGATGGAACTGGCTTGAGCTTGAACATGGAGAATCATGAGCCTAAGCATTGGTCATATTTCCGAAATTTGGCTCAGAATGAATTTGTTAGAAAAGATGTTTCCCTTATGGATCAGGACCATCTGGGTTTCCCATCCCCACTGACCAATCTTCGAGAAGGAGTTGCAGTAGATTACAGCTATCCACCTTTGAAGCCTGATGGAGTTGTTTTCGGTCACACTGACACCCATATAAATTTTGATGAGGATATTCGTCAAGAATCATCTGGTATAGCCAGTCCCAACACCATGAATTTAGCTTCAGAATACAATCCCTCTCCACCCAAGGGAATTGAGAGTGAGCAGGTGGATGGGGTAAATCATGGAATACGAGAATCAGAGTATGAGGTATCTCTATCTGCTCCATAATTTACTAGTAAATCACACTATTACCATCTTGATTGCCTCTGACCAATTTTCATTTTCACTTTCTTGTAGGATGGCGAGCTAAATACTCAGAACACAGGTTCTCTTGTTGATCTTTCTCGGGGAGAATTTGATATTAGTACCTTGCAGGTATGACAGTCAGTTTTTTTCTATTTGCAATATGGGAAAGTTAAAAGTAATGCTCTTCTCTGGAACCTATCCGTGAACTGTACAGATTCATGTTTCATTTATTTTCTTTTCCTGGGTATAAAATTTTCCCATATCCTTGTTCAATTAAAGCCAAGGCAATGTTTGACTAAAGCTTAGCAGTACTTGGGTTGCATTTGGGAGCAATTTTTTTGCCTTTCCACCAAAGAATTATGCCGCTTCAGCTTGCCTATTAGACGTGTTGACAGTCCCACCATGTTCCTCTTTAGTGGTTCTGTTGTCATAGGAACCCCCCAATCTGGAAACCACCAATCCCTCAAACATCACATGTATTGTATAATATTCCTCTACTACAATGGCACTGCCATTACTAACTTAGCTTTGAACTTCTTCATACCATTGTTTGCACCCTGCCAAGTCTATGTTAACAACTGTCTGAACCTAAATCGCTGTCTAAAAGAATATATCAAATATAACTTGTGCCCTTTGTCATATATTTTGGCTTTGTTTTGTCCATTGCAAGTTTCATTGTCATACTAGTCTCGAAATGATCTAAACGTTTGCACATCAGAAGTGATTGATGAAACATCTTTGCAATGTATTCATCATATTGGGTCAGACATACATTTTTTCCTTCTGATTATCATCTGTCCTCTGTTCAGTTGATGCAAATGGAAATTGTGAAATCTGTTAATTCTCTTGTTGGTCATCTATGAATTTCCTAGCAGATCATAGAGAATGAAGATCTTGAAGAGCTTAGGGAATTGGGTTCTGGCACATTTGGGACAGTTTATCATGGAAAATGGAGGGGAACAGATGTTGCCATTAAGCGTATAAAAAAGAGCTGTTTCACAGGGCGCTCATCAGAGCAAGAAAGACTGGTGAGTCGGAACAGATTGTTTTCTTGTTCAGTAATTCACTAAGCTAGAGTCAGAGTGAGTCATTTTTCCAGTCTATGGTGATGAATATCTCCAATATCATCTTATGCATAATGAAGGCAATAAAGAATCCATAAATTTAATTTTAGTTGGCTGTGATCGCTCCATTGTCTAGTGTGAGAGTTGTCCTTGTTTCAGATATTTATGATAACCTCTGGGTGCTGGCTGTTGGTGGGCAGCCTTCACCTACAGCGTTGTGCTCATTAACCAGTAATCATGTGACATATCAATAACAATAACTGTTGATCCTCTTTTTCTTTCTTCTATTTTTTCTTTGTTTCTAGACTGTTGAGTTCTGGCGTGAAGCCGAAATTCTTTCGAAGCTTCACCATCCAAATGTGGTTGCATTTTATGGCGTTGTCCAGAATGGACCAGGAGGAACACTAGCCACCGTGACTGAGTTCATGGTGAATGGCTCTCTGAGGCATGTTTTACTTAGCAAGGAGAGGTAATATTTCTATCTTTAGTTATGTCAAAGATGCAATCCTTTGCAGTGTACCAGACTCTCCAATCTTCTTAATCTTACTTTGGTTTTGTGAATGTCCAGACATCTTGATCGTCGTAAGCGGCTCATTATTGCTATGGATGCGGCATTTGGAATGGAATATCTGCATTCAAAAAACATAGTACACTTTGATTTGAAATGTGACAATTTGCTTGTGAACTTGAAAGACCCTTTACGACCCATTTGCAAGGTATTTGTACAATTCTTGCTGTCTTTGTAAGATTCTGTAGTTGATTAGGAATTCAAGATGGAATCTTGCTTATTAAATGGGTGATTATCGTTGTTTTTTCTTCTTTTCCGGACAGTAATTATGTTCTAAATCAAACAAGTATTTAGCAGAAAATTCTTGAATTTTGCAGGTTGGAGATTTTGGCTTGTCAAAAATCAAAAGAAACACCTTAGTTACTGGTGGTGTGAGGGGAACCCTACCCTGGATGGCTCCAGAGCTTCTTAATGGTAGCAGTAGTAAGGTTTCTGAAAAGGTAGGATACTACAGTTCATTTCTAATGCTTACTGGTAGAAAAAGAATATTACTAACGCAGAGTTCAGCTGATTGTTGAACTTATATATTCTAAGCTATACGGGAAACACTAACTTAAGCGGATAATATGCAGTTTAAAATCCAATGGGGGATTACTTAAATCTGTTCGTCTGTCTTTTAGGTTGATACAGTACTTGTGTGCGTGTTTGTTCAAAATAGTTTAAGCAATAAAAATAACTGAGGCCAAAAGGAGAAAAAAGTTATTCAGTATTCGAATATTAGAGATTCTTGTGGTTTTCATTGCTGATATCATTCAGCCAATTTTTTTTTCCGTACATTGATGCATGTCATTGAGCCACTTTATGCCTGTTGGCAGGTTGATGTATTCTCCTTTGGTATTGTCTTATGGGAGATTCTAACTGGTGAGGAGCCTTATGCCAATATGCATTATGGAGCAATCATAGGTGAGTACTAAGCTCTCTCTTCATGATGTCTCACTCGGCTTCAGTCCGATGTTCAAGCACATTTAGTTTCTTGTTAATTTTTGCATAATATAATGAACCAGCATCCGTAAAGTTAACTCTCTCAAGAAGTTGATGCTTGAGTCATTCCCTTGTTGATTTCATTTGTTTACTTATTTTATTTTGAAGTTACTTTTAGGTAGCATATTGTCAGATTTAGTTGAGTTTAGGGATTTCAGTTCATTCATGTAATGAATATTTTCAGAAAACAGATATTCAATTTTGTCATAGATTGCTAACCTTAAGCACTACAAAACCTGTCATTAATGATAAAGTTGGATCTTGAAATTCTATATGGTCTGGTTTTGCATAGAACAAGAGGAATCTAACCATTGAACTAGAATAGGCTGATGAATCATGAATGAAGTAAAAGGTATTGTAGATTAATTTTAAACTTTATGAAAAATCTATCGGACGGCTAAAAGGAGCTATCATTTAGCCTTTATATAATTAATGGAATGATGTTGAAAGCGACTTTAACCAGTGTTTACATTACATTAGTTAGATTCCTTTTAAGGAATAATACATTTAGAATTTTACTGATTATACTTCAATTTAAGTAATAAAACATAAAATATGAAACAATGTGTTTCACCAACAAATGTAGTGTAGGATTTTATCTTTCTTTTCCCAAGTTCATCCGTGACTGAAATTGGTTTTGGACTTTATGTGCACCGAGGGCTGCTCCTCACTGGGATCATTAGACAATCTGATTGCATAGGGAGTTAAAACTTATTGATCAACAAAGAGCATTTGTCCCGTTCTTAACTATGACATTGATTAGTCCTACTGGTTTTGCACATGTTCATTGCTCACCTGCTGATTTTTCATGTATACTCAACTTGGATGCCCCTTCTTTGTTTGCAGGAGGCATTGTGAATAACACATTGAGGCCACCTGTGCCAGGCTATTGTGATTCCGAGTGGAAGTTGCTAATGGAGCAATGCTGGGCCGCTGATCCCATTGCTCGCCCATCATTTACAGAAATAACTAGACGCTTGCGGGTGATGTCTGCAGCTTGCCGAACTAAACCACAAGTTCAAGGACAGAGCCAGGTACCCAAGTAGCAGGGTTTGATATGATTCACTCGTGCAATCTTAGCTTAGCATGAGTTGATCATAAGAATTTCTTTATACTCCATATAGGTTGTGTGTATTATATGAGTAGGGAGAAAGGCTCCCGTTGTATGGTGGAACTATAGGGTTTGGGTCTAAAACCTTACTGGACGACGGAATGATTGTGTTGTGTATTGGTGCATAAATGGGAAGAATTGGTTTATATGTAAATCTTATTTCTGTGTTCATAGTAAATACAAATTTTACTCTTTGTTGAAAGAGAAGTGGGGTTGGGTTGGTTTAAAAGGCTTTGCTATTATTCGTTTGAAGCCATGCGCTGCATTACCCATTCAGAGGTTTCCAATTAATGGTCTCTTGATTCATTTGACGCCATGCATTACCCAATCAAATGAAAGGAGTTTTATCTACTTGAAGAAATTTATAAAAATAAAAAAATAATAATAATAAAAAGAAGAGTAGAAACGTGGTGCTAAAGCATATATATATTTTTTAATACAAATGATAGTCTAAACTAGAGGGGAGGCTAAAGCAATGTATCTTGTCTGCTACAATTTGCACAACCTCTTTCTTGATTCTTCTTGATGGCAACCCATAGGGTTTTTTGGTCCCTTATCTCCTTATCTCTTTATTATCTGCATGGAGCCTTTTATCAGGCATTTCAATAAGTTAGCCGTGTCCACTCGGACTCAAGATGGCTTACTGTCTTCCCCTTATGGTCATAGAATTTCTAATTTAGTCTTTGTTGATGACTGCTTAATTTTCTCCAAAGCCACGCCAGTGGCTGCTACTCACAATTCTTGTGGCTTTCTCTAAAGCCTCAGGTCAAAGTATAAACTTCCAGAAATCCACAATATATTTTTCCCCCAGAGTCCATACGAGTGTCAAAAACAATATTAGTACTATTTTACAGGTTCAGCACAGAACCACAATTGGTAAATACTTAGGTATCCACAATATTATTTTCTATAAAGACCCTCAAAGAGAGTTAATTGACAAAATTCGCTCAAAGTTTGATGGGTGGAAAGCAAACACCCTTTCTAGAGCTAGAAAACTGACCCTCATTAAGTCCAATGTTTTTGGTATGCCTAATCATGTGATGCCTTGCTTTAAGTGCCCCTCACAGGTGATTAAAGAAATGAACAAATGCTGCAGAACCTTCTTTTGGGGTAGGGATGGTACCCCTCCTATTGCTTGGAGGGATGTTTGCATGCCCAAAGATCTTGGTGGCTTAGGAGTCAGACTAGCTAATCAATTTAATCTTGTGACTCTAGCAAAGCTGAGGTGGAAATGCATTACCGACCAATCAAATTAGTGGGGCAAGATTGTTACTCAAAAGTATTTAAGAAATGATAACTTTTTTACTCTGAAGAAAAAATCTAATAATTCTATTGCTTGGAAGTCTATTTTGGATGCCAGCAGGTTTTATGCAAAGGTTTGAGGTGGGTGGTGGGAAATGGTGGTTCTATTCCTTTCTGGACCTCCCAATGAGTTTTGCCTTTCCCACTCCTGAACTGCATTCCTGAGCACCAAAGAGGCCCTTTGAATCTTGATAAAAAAAAGTATTGGACTTTATCACAAACAACACCTAGGACAGAAATAAACTGTCAGAGGTTTTCGACGATGATCTGATTGACAAAATCTTAACTATTCCTCTGCCTAGATCCAATATGCAGGATAAAATGGTCTGGGGTCCCAACCCCAATTGATCATTCACCATCAAAAGTGCTTACAATATTCAGATCCAGGAGCAGCCATCCCACCCTCAAGTTGATCTGCTTAAGAAAATGTGGAAGCTCGATATTCCTCTGAAAGTGAAGATTTTTGCTTAGATGCTCATTCGAAAAAGACTACAAGTGAGAGCTAGATTGCACAGATTCATGCCGCATATTAATCCTGATTGCCCCATCTGTCAGAACCAGCCCGAGACAATTCAACACCTTTTTATGGACTGCAACTTTGCTAAGGATGTTTGGGGATTCTCATATGATATCCGGCCCCCTCCTTCACAGACTGGTGATCTGTATAGATGGCTTTCATCGCTGGGTTGCTTTACTCCTAAGTCTTATTTACTGGCAAATCTGGGAGGCAAGGAATAACATGTTGTTCCAAGGTTCTAAGCCACACCTGGCTTGTTGTATCCATGCTACTGCCACTTTGGGCTTGGATTATTGACAACTTAATTCTTCGGTCAAGAAGGAAAAAGACATTCCCATGGTGATTAAATGGCATCCCCCTCCAATAACATTGGTGAGAATTCCATAAATGTGGCTGAAAGCGTTGCTCTTTGGGATGGCCTTGCTGCTGCTATTGAGAGAGGTTGAGATCAAATCGTGGTTGAAGGTGATTCTAAACTCATTACTGATAGTATCCTAAAAAAAAAAGCAAGGCCCCCTTGGAGCATCCAACATATTATTTAGGATATTTGGTCCCTTACTTCGTCTGTCGCCTTTATCCGCTTCCAGCATGTGTTCAGGGAGGCAAACTTCACAGCTGATGCGGTTGCTAAGCTGAGCCATGGGCTATCAGCGCAAGTTTGTTGGGAGCTTGGTCTTCCGTTATCAGTTAGCTCCCCCTTTTATTTTGACCTCTTTGGGCATTCTTGAAATGATAATTGAGGATAACCAGTGTTATAACTTAGGCTTATTAAATTGATGTGAGAAGGATTTATTGTAAGTGTTTTTTTTTATTTTTTTTTCCAGGGGATTTATTGGAAGTTAGATACTACAAATAAATAGACAAAATGATATCTATTATTTGCGTTTATTTATTTATTATGAAATTCGGTTTCTGTGGCGACTTGGTTACCAACTTTTATTTAACAACCTATGAGGCATGTGATATGGTCTCTTATAAATTGATATTGACAACCATGTCCTTGGGCTGCTTATAGATAATAGATATTATGCCCTCTTATAAATTGATATTGACAACCATGTCCTTCCATAAGAGATGATGAGGAAGCTGTTTGCTCTGATAATAACCACCCACGACGTCTCAGTCTCTTACAGTACCAGTTGCGTATTATATAACGGTGCTCTTCAATCGGCGTTAACGAACTCTCAACTCTCAAAGGTAAGCTCTTTTTCTCAAGTATGCATAAAACTGTCTACCATAATTGAGAATTGGGAACTGGGTTGTGGTTAGGCAGTCCTCGTTTTCGTAGTGTACACAATATGTTTGAGGAAAAGCCTCACAGGACCCATCCAATATTAATTTGATGGTTCCTGTAAAAACAGTTCAAAAGCAATCTACCATTAAGTGAGCTTCACCTGAATTTGGCCCTTTGGGTGTGGAAGCAAAGCAACAACATTTTACATTAGCTTTGCCCTCTAACAAAGAAAAGAAAAAGTACTGCATTTGGGTGGCGATGATGTGCCGTGCTGGAAAGGATTTCCGTTTTGGTTGAATACCCATGTTCTTTCTATTTCTGATTTATATTATTGTTCATTCATTCGCAATACTGCTCAGCTATTATATATTGGCTTTGAAATGACATCATGACTATTGGCTGACTGGTTCTGCACATAAAAGATACACTATTAGCTAAAGGATTGAAACATTTTATTCATTGGTTTTGTTTGTTGTACTTGTTTTTTTATTTTTTATTTTTTATTTTTATAACCAGGAGACTGGGCTCTAGGGATAATAACATAGATAGATGTTCCATAAGCCTCCAACAGTCTCCTCTGCTTTGTGGGAACCATATCAGAAAGGTGATCTAGTCCTTCTTTCATTTTCTATCTTCAAGCTTGTACTTTTAGAAGCAATTTTACAATGAACATGTATTGATTTTGCTTAATTCTGCAGGTGCTTGCCTCTGTACCATTGAGTTCAAGCGAACTCAATTATCAGCTGTGAATTCCTATAGTGTCGGGTTCAAGGTTCTATTCTCTCCCTTTCATTATCCCTTCTCTTTCTTGTTTGTTAACTATTTGTATATTACAAAGATGCATCATAGTTGATTGATTTGGTTAATTATTTTTACAAGCACCCTATCCATTTTCACAGCAGTTGCTGTCGCCTTTTTAGTAGAGCTTGTAGTATACAAGCTCATATTAGAGCCAAATAATTCCTAATTATATCATGGAACATTGAATGCCAATATCCATAACCAGAACCAACCAATGTTGGTTCCAATTTCTGGGCTGTTAAGAGGTAGTGAGCACCTGTCAGTTTCCATCTGCAGGATTTCATTGAGTAAATTCATCTATAAGATCTTTTAAATTCTTTGAGGACTTGATGTCATATGGGGCTATGGAAATGCCTTGACATAGGATTTGAGCATCAAAGGTATTTACCATATATCATCCACCATGATGTGGTGCATTGCATCAATACTTGGGGTCGTGGTAGATGTCTGTCTCCAGAAATGTTTAGAAATGTTTAGAAATGTCTGAATACTGTAAACTTGTTATGGAAATTTTCTTGTGGTTTTAATGAGAACAGTGCGTTGGTTTTGACAAGTGCTCCAACTTTTTTATTTTCATCCATAATAATTGGTTCCTCAAAACTTCTAAAGACTTTCTTCAGTCTTTAGAGATATGCCCTTTAGGGCTGTGTGGTTGGATTGGAAAGCAGCCATTTACTAGCTATAGGTTGTGTGTGCGCTACTGGGGTTCTTTTGATAGTAGCTTAGGGTTTTGTTCAGTCTAGCTGCTCTTTCTTTGTTTCTGTATTTTTTTGTGGCCACCTTGCAATAAAATTTGTTTCCTTTTCTAAAAAACAAAATTGGTTCCTCAAATCTAAGGCAGAGTTGATTGTTTCCATGTGAGTCTGCAAATGAAGTTGACATTAAAAAAAATACAAGAAATAAGGGGTGAGAAAGTATAAAAAAAATTCCTCGTGGAGTAGCTGGTTGAGAAGCACTGTGCTTCTCACAACTATTTAATTAGTTTCTTACATGTGTTCCTAGCGGTGTTACACCCTGAGGCTACTGTTATTGTGATTTGTGACAGTACTGGTGCTTTGAGAATATCTTCCTCCTTAATTTGTATATGCATGCATGTAGTCGTGAGTTTGACTTTCATCCTGGAACTGGATACTCAAGTTTTATTCAAAATGCAGTTTGAGCATGGAAAGCTTCATAAAGGAGGAAGTATTTTGGGAACTATCTTTTCTGCCAGTAGGAAGCCCAGGGTAGAACCAACCTTAAGGAAGCGAGAAGCATATCCCCAAAATGTGGATCTTCCACCCATACTACCTAAGCAAAAGAAGAAACCCTATCCTATTCCCTTCAAGAAGATCAAGCAGGTTGCAAAGGAGGACAAAAAACTTGCAGAAATGGGTATAGAGAAGCCCCTCGACCCTCCGAAAAATGGATTACTTGCCCCTGATTTAATTCCTGTTGCTTACCAAGTACTAGATGCGTGGAAAGTTTTAATTAAAGGCCTTGCACAGCTGTTGCATGTTATTCCTGTATACGGCTGCAAGTAAGTATGTATATTTTTTTTTAATGTTCTGTATCCATCTTTCAAAAGTTCTGATGCGGCTTTATATAGTTATGTACTAATCTTTTAACAATCTAGGTTAAAAATTGGAACATTTAATTGTTTTAGCTCTTTTGCAGTGAATGCTCTGAGGTTCATGTGAGCCACTCTGGTCATCACATGCAGGACTGTCTTGGCCCAACCAATTCCAAGCGCCGAAGCTTCCATTCCTGGATTAAGGGTTCTATCAATGACATACTTGTACCCATCGAGGCATATCATCTGTATGATCCTTTTGGTCGGCGCATTAAGCATGAAACTAGATTTCAATATGACAGGATTCCTGCTATCGTGGAGCTGTGCATCCAAGCTGGTGTGGAAATACCGGAGTACCCTTCACGTCGAAGAACCAAACCTATCCGAATGATTGGAAGGAAAGTAATTGATCGTGGTGGATTGGTTGAGGAGCCACAGCCATGGCGCGCTGCGAATCCATCTTCACTTGCTGATCTCGATACACATGGGGCTTGTGAGCGGTTTCCACCTCCCCTGCCATCAGACATTCCCAAGATTGCACAGGAGACAATGGATGCATATGAAACTGTGAGGTTCGGGGTCATGAAGCTGATGAAGAAATACACTGTGAAGGCGTGTGGGTATTGCACAGAGGTTCATGTTGGACCTTGGGGTCACAACGCAAAGCTTTGTGGGGAATTCAAGCACCAATGGAGGGATGGGAAGCATGGTTGGCAGGACGCTACCGTGGATGAAGTTTTCCCACCAAACTATGTATGGCATGTCAAAGACCCTAAAGGACCTCCAATGAAAGGGGGTGCACTCAAGAAGTTCTATGGGAAGGCTCCTGCCGTGGTAGAGGTGTGCTTGCAGGCAGGTGCACGGATCCCTGAGAAATACAAACCCATGATGAGGCTTGACATTGTAGTCCCTGACACTGAGGAGGCACAGTTAGTTGCCTGATGATATGACTTCGTTTTTGTGCAGCATACTGTGAAGCTTGTATATTATTGTATGCAAACTCTGAATCTTTACTGTAAATCTTTGAGGTTTGTATGCACACTGTGGCATCATCATCATCACTTCATCAGAAGAAATGGCACTCTGGCCGCTACTAAGTCAGGTTAATAGCTGCCATTCCAAACATTTTAGCTCAGGCGTGCCCATGAATTAATCATGACCTCCAATTCAATCACCTTGTAGAGAAATGAGAATTTTGAAGAAATTGTTTTAAATTCCGACTGTCAAACCCTGATCAAGCGTGTCAACTAATGCATTTTGAAATTGGAGTTGGACTAGTGACTTCCTTGATTTTGACCAAATAATGAATTGGTTCTTTAGTTCGTTTTCCACCGAATATTTTTGGGAGCTAGTTTCCCCACTCCCCTTTTCTTCACTTACACTCCCTTTTGCTTTTTAATATTTTTTAATCAATTTTGTTCTTTCTCTTTCCTATTCTATCCTTACCCTACATTAATTTCTTTTTTTTTTTTTAATGTTCTGTATCCATCTTTCAAAACTTCTGATGCGGCTTTATATAGTTATGTACTAATCTTTTAACAATCTAGGTTAAAAATTGGAACATTTAATTGTTTTAGCTCTTTTGCAGTGAATGCTCTGAGGTTCATGTGAGCCACTCTGGTCATCACATGCAGGACTGTCTTGGCCCAACCAATTCCAAGCGCCGAAGCTTCCATTCCTGGATTAAGGGTTCTATCAATGACATACTTGTACCCATCGAGGCATATCATCTGTATGATCCTTTTGGTCGGCGCATTAAGCATGAAACTAGATTTCAATATGACAGGATTCCTGCTATCGTGGAGCTGTGCATCCAAGCTGGTGTGGAAATACCGGAGTACCCTTCACGTCGAAGAACCAAACCTATCCGAATGATTGGAAGGAAAGTAATTGATCGTGGTGGATTGGTTGAGGAGCCACAGCCATGGCGCGCTGCGAATCCATCTTCACTTGCTGATCTCGATACACATGGGGCTTGTGAGCGGTTTCCACCTCCCCTGCCATCAGACATTCCCAAGATTGCACAGGAGACAATGGATGCATATGAAACTGTGAGGTTCGGGGTCATGAAGCTGATGAAGAAATACACTGTGAAGGCGTGTGGGTATTGCACAGAGGTTCATGTTGGACCTTGGGGTCACAACGCAAAGCTTTGTGGGGAATTCAAGCACCAATGGAGGGATGGGAAGCATGGTTGGCAGGACGCTACCGTGGATGAAGTTTTCCCACCAAACTATGTATGGCATGTCAAAGACCCTAAAGGACCTCCAATGAAAGGGGGTGCACTCAAGAAGTTCTATGGGAAGGCTCCTGCCGTGGTAGAGGTGTGCTTGCAGGCAGGTGCACGGATCCCTGAGAAATACAAACCCATGATGAGGCTTGACATTGTAGTCCCTGACACTGAGGAGGCACAGTTAGTTGCCTGATGATATGACTTCGTTTTTGTGCAGCATACTGTGAAGCTTGTATATTATTGTATGCAAACTCTGAATCTTTACTGTAAATCTTTGAGGTTTGTATGCACACTGTGGCATCATCATCATCACTTCATCAGAAGAAATGGCACTCTGGCCGCTACTAAGTCAGGTTAATAGCTGCCATTCCAAACATTTTAGCTCAGGCGTGCCCATGAATTAATCATGACCTCCAATTCAATCACCTTGTAGAGAAATGAGAATTTTGAAGAAATTGTTTTAAATTCCGACTGTCAAACCCTGATCAAGCGTGTCAACTAATGCATTTTGAAATTGGAGTTGGACTAGTGACTTCCTTGATTTTGACCAAATAATGAATTGGTTCTTTAGTTCGTTTTCCACCGAATATTTTTGGGAGCTAGTTTCCCCACTCCCCTTTTCTTCACTTACACTCCCTTTTGCTTTTTAATATTTTTTAATCAATTTTGTTCTTTCTCTTTCCTATTCTATCCTTACCCTACATTAATTTCTTTTTTACTTCACTTTTATATTATTTATTTTTCTTTATACTTAATTTTCTAACTTACACTCCATTTTCAGTATTAAAGGGGAAAAAAAACTTAATTTCTTACTTGATTAAAGGAAAAAAAAAACTGAAAAATGGAGTGCAAGTTGGAAAATTAAGTATAAAGAAAAAGAACTAATATAAAAGTGAAGTAAAAAGAAATTAATGTAGGGTAAGGGTGGAATAGGAAAGAGAAGGAACAAAATTGATTAAAAAGTATTAAAAAGCAAAAGGGAGTGTAAGTGGAGAAAAGAGGAGTGAGGAAATCTATCCCATATTTTTTTTAATCACAAATTAAAGTAGCTGATAAGTTGATAGATCTAATTTTCCATGTTCTTTGGGTAATTAAAAAAAAGATGATCTTCATTTTCGGAAAATACCACGAGGTGTTCCCACACCTGAAGGGTGGGATTAATCTTCACTCGGGATTCGGCTTGCCCCTTGCCACAAAGTGCTTCATTTTTATTTCTTGAGTAGTAACAAGTTATTCCCAGAGGGGAGATTAATTTTTAGAAACATGGTTGGAGAAATTCTTCTCTCCTTAGTAATTGATGTCTAGGTGGTGTCCTATCATTCGTGCGTACTACCACCCACCTGGTAAATGCCACATGGTAATACGGTACTACGTAATAATCTCTCTCTCCTTGCTAAGAACATGATAACACAAAAACCCAATGGCAATGATGAACGGAACTTCATTGAAATGGATGACATGTTAAATTTAAAGTGCATAATCAAACTTGCATTGCTAGCATGCCTTCACTGTTTACAAGGTGGATGCGAATGCTATACATAGAACACCTGCCCGACATTCAAGAGGCTCTCATGAGGAACGTTGAACATTACACTGTTTTCCCTGCATATCTTCCTAAGAAATGCATATAGGTAATCAATAGCTATCTTCTTCCAAAACTTTGATTCCCTCCTAGCTTTTATTACAGTGTTTCCCAGTATGTGCACCACCCCTGCATCTCTACAGTTGTTCAAGAATTCAACCTCATCATCAGTCCCAACCTGGTTGCTTGCCGGAATGGAGTAGGTAATGTTGTTTGCATGCAATGGAGAATCGTCAGGCACGATCAAGTCCCCTGACCCAATTGACTGGTTCACATTGGAGTGAAGCATATTGCTGCTATTACAAAACAGGCCATCTCCTGATTGCTTAGTTTGTTGGTCAAGTACACTAGATAAATCAGAGTCTGAAGACGCTTCCATCAGGCACTCAAGCCGGACAAACATGAAAAGGCTTTGAAAGAGCTTTTTCTCAAAATCATCATCCTTTTTATGGTCATCTTTATAGCCATACCTTGCAACACAACGGAACATGTGGAAATTCTTGGGTCCGATCCGCTTTACAAGGAACCGCTCTTCCTCTGGGACTGTCCAGACAGGAAGATACTTCACGCAGACAAAGACAACAACAGAATGGATGGCGGGTAGGTTGGTGATAAAATGAGAGAAGATGAGGGGCACTCCGCTTGCTAGCTCAGTGTACACAAGGCCTATCCCGGGTACCCGAACCAGTCCTAAACTGGGGCCAAGTCCAAGAATCCATGCCATGGAAACCTTACTATGCATCTCAATCTCAAACCGTTTTACGGTCCCATAATGCCAAACATACATGATGATAAAGAAGGCTGCTGCGATCACGAGAGGAACCCAGCCACCTTGATTGACCTTGAGGAGCACAGCAGAAAAGTAAGTGCCCTCCACAACCAATGATAAGCCAGTGAAAATCAGGACAAGAATCCAGTGGCAGCGCCACACTAATATCATGACTAAAATCATAAGCAGTGTGGTTACCAACATGACTATACAAACCGCCGTCCCTGTTGCAACACGTAAAATTATGTTAGTTGGTGCAATATAATTTCAACCAAGAAGCGTGGAAGGAGATGTGATAAGTAACAGAACAGAAGTTTGAGAAGAGAAATGGGAACAAAATTTGCCTAGAATTGTACCCACTCGGGCGGAACAGTTACAACTGGAAGCAGATGGGAAACAAAAGGAAAAAAAATGACATTGGAAGGTACTGAAAAAGAATGATGAACTGTAATTTAGACCTCATCCTTAATGACTATTTTGATTTCACAGCCACTGGCCAAGCTGACCCCCCATAATCCAGGTCAGAGAATCTTTTGCATAATGTGGATAAACATGGAGCTAGAGAATGTTTAGAAATTATGGAAGATATGAAAGACAATAATGATTAATCCATTCAAAAGTTAGTCTATATGGAGATTCAGCAAGATGAGAAGATGGCATGATATGAGAAGGAAAATGATTTTTTCACTAATGCTATACAAAAGTTAATTTCGTACTAACTAACTGAAGTAGATGTCTTTACCCCCGCCAAAAAAAACAGAAGGTGAAGCCAACCCGCACAAGAAACACACGTGTGGGACATTTTATAATGTATGTAGAAAGAATTCAAACAAATTCACACACTGACCTGAATTTCATGAACTTGTGTATTAACAAAAGAAGATATGTGTATAAATAAAATAAGCTACATCTGGTTAAACTCACCAGAGGCATTGCCAATTTGGTTTTGATTTTTAAACCCAGCTGTCACGACAATGCAGAGAATCATAACAATCCAATTAATTTCTGGAATATAAATCTGGTGACGGTACTTCCTAGATGTATGTACGACTTTGACTCTTGGGAAACAGCCTAATGCAAGGGCCTGCTTGATTAATGAAAAAGTTGCAGTTATGGTGGCCTGACTTGCAACAACAGCAGCTGCAGTTGCAACAATAAACACAGGCCAATATATGTTGTCTGCAAAAAAGATTAATCAGCATCCTTCAGCAATAGATTACCATAAACATGGAGTATTCATGCCACTCTGAAAATATATGTAAAGTTTAAAGAGTTTTCTTGAATAACAGGCTTCTACTTACATAAACAATAAACACCTAAGCGTAAATGTTTATGTTATATTTAAGAGATCAAACAAACCTGGAATGGAATGATAAAAAGCACCGATCACGTTATTTGAATTTTTCATGAGGTATGCAGCTTGACCACAGTAGGCCAATAGAAGGCATGGAAATACAACTAACGTGAAAGCAATCTGTATGGACGAGACTGGGAAATGGGATAGGTCAGCAAAAAGTGCTTCTGTTCCTGTAAGTGTTCACAACCAGTCTTCAGGGAAAAGTCACAAACTCACTTGAATTTCATAAATGAAAATTAAAGATCATAAAAAAGGACAATGCATGCCTATAGAACATTTACCTGTTATACTAAGCATAATACCTCCGAGAGATGTCCACCCACCCTTTCCTCCCCTCTTAAAAAATTGATATACATATACAGGTGAAAAAGCTTTTAAAATGCTACTTTCATACTTCCAAATGTTGAACATGCCAATTCCTCCAATTACGAGAAACCAAAGGAGTACAATGGGTGCAAACAGCCAACCAACTTTATCTGTACCATGGTGTTGCATGCTAAACAAAAGTGCCAGTATAACAACAGCAACAAGCACAACCACCTCTGTACACCAAAGTGTAGTTATAATTAGATTTGGAAAAAATGATATATTGAGTCACAAACTTCACAAAGAAAATGAAAAGATATCTTCATATCCAAAAGCATGGAGGTACCATTACTAATCTTAGAGTGGCCCACGTTGATCCCACCAACTGCTGACAGAACTGCAAAAGATAGTATGAATCGATTAAGTATTACGCATGCTTACCGAATAGAATATGATCAAGGAAGTACCTTTTATCATTTAGAAAACAAACAAAAAAATTGAAAAAAGAATAGTTTTCACAAATCACGATAAAGATTGCTCTGTGTGCAAGGGTATTGCAATAACTTCCCTTATGATTTACTTCTCTAAGAACATTACGCAGGTTGAATGCGTTCGGGTTTCTGTAACATAGGGAGAAGAAAGAGGGCAGAGTGGAAAAAAGCGTTCAACCATGAAGATGGGTACCTGATATGGCTGGAGTCAGAATCCCATCCCCAATCACCATGCAAGAGCCAACTAGGACAAGAATAAGAAGTGTGCTCTGCATTAATGCATGTCCCTCCAACCATCTCTTGGTTCTTGCAGTGAATGAGTGCTCATCAAATGTAGAACGGCTATATGTTGTTAGTGCCTCATCCGTCTGGTCTTGGTTAGGAATAGCCTTAATTTTTGCATGTCGACAGAGTAGTGAATAAAGAGCAAATGTTCCACCTGCAACCATATGAAGAGGGTAAGTTTACTAGAACTCAGTGTCGGCAAAAACAATTGGGACATTGGCTCATTAGGAGGGAAGATACTGCCATAATGCACGCAACGGTATACTATCATTAGAACTACATCATGAAATATAGCAAAGAATTCTGGCATCCATTACTTTTAAAATATTACTCTTTTACTTGGTTTACAATCTTCCATAAATTAATATCAACCATAAACTCATTATGTACGTCTGCACGATTGATGCGTATAAAGCACTACAAACCTCTTGCTTTGAAGGTGCGTGTGTAAGATCACAATTGCGTTTACCTTCTCAAACGAAGCTGGAAGTTAATCCAAAATGTTTCTATCATGTGGGTACCTTGTACATGTTCACCTATTGTTATCCTCTAATATTACATATGTATCCTGTGACCCTCACCAATTGTACTCTTCCCCAATTTACTTAATTCTATCTTTAAATTTTCTATCATCAGATGGAACCATCAGGAAGAAAATCTGCCATCAACTTTCCCAAAGGAAAGCAGAAATAAGGGCAGTCTTGAGTCAGCCTTAAGAGAATGGGAAGGGAAGAACAAATGAACTGCACTATTAGCACTACATCAGAACAAGCCATAACAGCATCCATATTTCCGATGTAATTGTCTCTTATTGAGCAATCAAACAAAGATAAATTGGATTAATTATCTGAGCACCGAATTGAAGGTAATGCCTAACATTAGATAGGCGGGGAGGGGGAAGAGGCATTTATATATGGATGATATAGAACTAGAATAAAGTAACATCATTGGTTGAGATCAATTACCTTGACCATTGTCATTTGCTCTGCAGACAATAAAAACGTACTTGAGGAGTGGAATAAGAGTGAGGGAGTAGATTATAACCGATAAAGCTCCGATTAAATCCTCTGGGTCACCAATTCCATCAGGAAATGTATTGTAGAAAACATACAAAGGAGATGTGCCTAAATCTCCATACACCACACCAAGGCTTTGAAATGCAAGCTGCAGAAGCATTAATGTCGAATGTTTCTGCAAGGAAATCAGCAACAAGAGAAAAGCTACTTAACTGACCCTAAACACACAAAAACTTCAATTGACTGCCAGATTTTTAAAATTCAAAGCCTTCAGACTTGACATTTCTAATGATATGGGTAAGTTAGGCTTTGAAACAGTTCACTGCATAATGGGGGAGAGAAAGAAAGATAATACCTTTTCCGTGTACATATTTCTAAGCCTTTTAGCCTCCTCATCCATGGGCTGATCAAGCTGCTGATCCAAAACCCAGACACTACCTTTATTATTATTATCAGTGTTTTCATCAGCAGGCGTTCTTCTAGCCATTTGCATCTCCATAATTCAAATGATTCTCCCTCCCTTCCACCAATTCACCTGTCCAAGTTTTTCAATGCCCCAGTTGCTCTTTCTGACTGAACCTAATGCAAAACAGATATCAGTGTTGAAAATTTGAAGATTCTTCTGCTTTTGAATTGCTAGCAAATTACCAAGAAAACATCTCATCAGTAACCTAATGCAAAACATCTAAGTAGTACACAAAAAATGAACAAAAATCCAGAATTCCCTTGAAGCCATGACAACCCAAGAACACCCAGCATATACAATCTACATAAAAAAAAATGTAAAATATGAAAGGAAAAAAAAGAAAAAACGAAACTTTTAGTGGCTTTCTTACTTGGTTTTAAGTGATGTTCCCAAGGTGGGTTTAGCCCTGAAGACTTCAAGTACCCTTCAAGCCTACCACAAGGGTGACAGAGATGAACAGAGGCCATTCTTTAGAGCAAAGAGTAATTCTTTATTCTAGTTAGGGCCCTTCTCGTTATAATACAGTGTAAATATTGTTTCTTTCCTATTTTTAATAATAATGTGACGTTAGAGTATGATCACGTAATATAATTCGTTCAAGTGCTATTATATAAATAGATATTTATTCATTTCAATCCTGAAAGAAATTTCAGTTGCAATTGTTTTTATTTTTTTCGATCTGGTAAAAATGCCTCTTACTCTTAGCAAGTAATGGTTATGCATGGGTTTCTTTTTGTTGGCTGGTGGTATGCAAAGATTCTAAATGTACAAGAAAATGCCAAATATACACAACAAATATGCCTAAGATTTAGAGCGCGGATTTTTTTTATACACGCAATCGAATAAGGATTGGCGCCCACATAGTTTAAAACAGTGAGTGTTCACAGAAATATCAGAATATAAAAACATGACAGACACATATGTTTATTAAGTTTTGGTTTCTGAGGGGATTTAGTAATTTCCAATTCCGCAAAAAATTCACGTGAGAATTTGTACAAATAGATCAAAATAGCATAAAATAGACTAGTTAGAGCAAGTAGAAGATCATTTAAAAAAGAAGGTTGAGCAAAGGTCGAGTCCTAGCATCCATATAGTGTATATGAGTTTAGTATACTATCACTCCTCTCAATAGGAAAGATCCTAAAAAAAAAGAAAAAAAAGAAGAATGGAGAAGTCATTCTTTTTTATTATAGTACGAAGACAAGACGTGTTTGGGAAAATTTAAGGTATCTTTGACAGTGAGGAGGTCTTAATTATAATAATAGTTCTGTGATTTGCAATCTCTTTAAATTATGAATCCCATGATTTAGCTTAAGTTTTTTGTTTCTGGGCTTCTGGTCCCCACTTCACACACAAAAAAAAAAAGACAAAAACCATGTGCTTGAAAATATATTAAAGCTGACGCAATATGATTTGGACAAGACTGCATACTAACCGTAGTAAAATAAATTACGAAAGAAGTACAAATGAAATACGGTAAAAAATATGTACGTATTTAATATATGTAAGGGTGAAAAATTCAGCCATTATAAAATAGTATTTTTATTCAATACTATGTGAAAGTTAAATGTGGAAGTTGAGGTTCGCAAAACTAATCGGCAATTGTGAGACTAATCTTCTTATGCCCTATAAGATTTCTTATCTTAATGTGATAATTCTTTACATCCTCACAACATACCCAACCACACTAGTGGTCGTGACTCGTGATCATCTTGAATGTTTCCACACTTGTGTTAACTTGTCTCGATCAAGTTAACTTGAATGTTTCGCAAAACTAGCATTGCTGAATTCTTACATTGAAATCGGTTTTTTTGGTGTTTTTTTTTGGTCGGATTATTTGGTTTGATTTCTACTTTTGTCAACAATGAAATCCTAGATGACAAAGGCGGGGAGTAATGAATACTGATACATAAACAAAATTAAAGAAACATGGTTGAAAAAGATCTTGATGCCCAAGTGTCGTCCCATTATTCGTCTGTACTGCAATCCGGAAAATGCCACCTGATAATACAGTGCTACCTAATAATCTCTCCTTGCTAAGAACATGACAAAACATAAACCACTGGCAATGACTGAACTTAACTGAAACGGATGACAACATGCTAAATTTGATTGCTAATATGCCTTCAGTCATTACAAGATGTGAATGCTATACATAGAGAACTTGTCCAACATTCAAGAGGCTCTCATGAGGAACGTTGAACATTACACTATTTTCCCTACATATCTTCCTAAGAAATGCATATAGGTAATCAATAGCTATCTTCTTCCAAAACTTTGATTCTTTCCTAGCTTTTACTACGGTATTTCCCAACATGTGCACCACCCCTGCGTCTCTACAGTTGTTCAAGAATTCTACCTCATCATCAGTCCCAACCTGGTTGCTTGCCGGAATGGAGGAGGTAATGTTGTTTGCATGCAATGGAGAATCGTCAGGCACGATCGAGTCCCCTGACCCAATTGACTGGTTCACATTGGAGTGAAGCATATTGCTGCTATTACAAAACAGGCCATCTTCTGATTGCTTAGTTTGTTGCTCAAGCAAGCTAGATACATCAGAGTCTGAAGACGCTTCCATCAAGGACTCAAGCCGGAAAAACAAGAAAAGGCTTTGAAAGAGCTTTTTCTCAAAATCATCATCCCTTTTATGGTCGTCTTTATAGCCATACCTTGCAACACAACGGAACATGTGGAAATTCTTGGGTCCGATCCGCTTTACAAGGAACCGCTCTTCCTCTGGGACTGTCCAGACAGGAAGGTACTTCACGCAGACAAAGACAACAACAGAATGGATGGCGGGTAGGTTGGTGATAAAATGAGAGAAGATGCGGGGCACTCCGCTAGCTAGCTCACTGTACACAAGGCCTATCCCAGGTACCCGAACCAGTCCTAAACTGGGACCAAGTCCGAGAATCCATGCCATTGAAACCTTACTGTGCATCTCAATCTCAAAGCGTTTTACTGTTCCGTAATGCCAAACATACATGATGACAAAAAAGGCTGCTGCGATCACAAGAGGAACCCAGCCACCTTGATTGACCTTGAGGAGCACAGCAGAAAAGTAAGTGCCCTCCACAACCAATGATAAGCCAGTGAAAATCAGGACAAGAATCCAGTGGCAGCGCCACACTAATATCATGACTAAAATCATAAGCAATGTGGTTACCAACATGACTATACAAACTGCCGTCCCTGTTGCAACACGTAAGATTATGTTAGTTGGTGAAATACCTATTTCAACCTGGACACATATAAACACAGGAAGATATGTGTTTAAATAAGATAAGCTACATTTGGTAAAACTTACCAGAGGCATTGCCAATTTGGTTTTGATTTTTAAACCCAGCTGTCACGGCAATGCAGAGAATCATAACAATCCAATTAATTTCTGGAATATATATCTGGTGACGGTACTTCCTTGATGTATGCACGATTTTGACTCTTGGGAAACAGCCTAATGCAAGGGCCTGCTTGATTAATGAAAAAGTTGCAGTTATGGTGGCCTGACTTGCAACAACAGCAGCTGCAGTAGCAACAATAAACACAGGCCAATATATGCTGTCTGCAAAAAAAGATTAATCGGCATATTTCAGCAATAAATTACCATAAACATGGGGTATTCATGCCACTCTGAAAATATTTGTAAAGTTTAAAGAGTTTTCTTGAATAACAGGCTTCTACTTACACAAACAATAAACACCTAAGCGTAAATGTTTATGTTGTATTTAAGAGATCAAACAAACCTGGAATGGAATGATAAAAAGCACCGATCACATTATTTGAATTTTTCATGAGGTATGCAGCTTGACCACAGTAGGCTAATAGAAGGCATGGAAATACAACTGACGTGAAAGCAATCTGTATTGACGGGACTGGGAAATGGGATAGGTCAGCAAAAAGTGCTTCTGTTCCTGGAAGTGTTCACAACCAATCTTCAGGGAGTAAGTCACAAACTCACTTGACTGTCATAAATGAAAAGTTAAGATAATAAAAAAAGATTATGCATGCATAGAACTTTACCTGTTATACTAAGCATAATACCTCCGAGAGATGTCCACCCATCTTTTCCTCCCCTCTTAAAAAATCGATATACATATACAGGTGAAAAAGCTTTTAAAATGCTACGATCATACTTCCAAATGTTAAACATGCCAATTCCTCCAATTACGAGAAACCAAAGGAGTACAACTGGTGCAAACAGCCAACCCACTTTATCTGTACCATGGCGTTGCATGGTAAACAAAAGTACCAGTATAACAACAGCAACAAGCACGACTACCCCTGTATACCAAAAGTGTGGTTATAATTAGATTTGGAAAAATTGATACATTGAGTCACGAACTTGACAAAGCAAATGAAACGATATCTTTATATCAAAAGCATGGAGATACCATTACTAATCTTAGGGTGGCCCACATTGATCCCACCAACTGCTGACAGAACTGCAAAATATAGTAGGTTAGGTATTGCGTATACTTATTGAATAGAATATGGCTAAGCAGCTTCCAATAAAACTGATAAAGGATCATACTCACCTCAGCAGGAGTTATCAGAGAATATTTGTAGAAAATTACAATACTCACACTTAGTAAAATGCTTTCAAGGAAGTACCTTTATCATCCAGAAATGAAAAAACGAATGGATTTCATGATAAACATTGGTCTGGGTGCAAGGGCATTCAATAGCTTCCCTTATTATTTACTTCCATAGGAACAATTTACGCATGTTGAATGTGTTTGGGTTTCGGTAATAGATGGAGAAGAAAGAGGAGAGAGTAGAAAAGAGCGTTTGTGGGTATGTGTAATACAAAGTTACATAATAAGCAGATTAGTTATGAAGATAGTAAACAGAAGAACTATTCTACAATATCAACCATGAAGATGCGATGCCTACCTGATATGGCTGGAGTCAGAATCCCATCCCCAATCACCATGCAAGAGCCAACGAGGACAAGAATAAGAAGTGTGCTCTGCATTAATGCATGTCCCTCCAACCATCTCTTGGTTCTTGCAGCAAATGATTGCTCACCAAATGTAGAACGACTATAGGTTGTTAGTGCCTCATCTGTTTGGTCTTGGTTAGGAATAGCCTTTATTTTTGCATGTCGACAGAGTAGTGAATAAAGAGCAAATGTTCCACCTGCAACCATTAGGAGGATAAGTTTGCAGGAACGTGCGGACAAAATCAGATAGGAAAATTTGCCTCATTGAGAGGGAAGATACAGCCATAATGCATGCTACTGTATACTAGCATTAGAATACATAACGAAAATCATTTAATATATAGCAAAGAATTCTGACATTCATTACTTTTAAAATGTCACTCTTTCACTTAATTTACAATCTTCCATAAATTACTATCAACCATAAACTCATTGTTTACATCTGCATGATTGATGCGTATAAAGCACTACAAACCTCTCGCTTTGAAGGGGCGTGTGTAAGATCACAATCGTGTTTACCTTCTCAAAGAAGCTGGAAGCTAATCCAAACTGTTTTTATTATGTGGATACCTTGTACATGTTCACCTATTGTTATCCACTAACATTTCATATGTGTCCTGTCCCTTACCAATTTTGTTCTTTCCCCTTTAATTGATTCTATCTCTAAGTTTTCTATCATCAGACGGAATCATCAGGAAGAAAATCTGCCATCAACTTTCCCAAAGCAAAGCAGAAATAAGGACAGTCATCAATCAACCTTAAAAGAATGAAAAGGGAAGAACAAATGAACTGCACTATTGGCACTACATCAGAAAAAGGCCATAACAGCGTCCATATTTTCGATGTAATTGTCTCTTATTGAGAAATCAAACACAGATACATTAGATTAATTATCTGAGCACAGAATTCAAGGTAATGCCTAATATTATAAAGGTGGAAAGAGAGAGAGAGAGAAGAAGCTTATATATGGATGATATAGAACTAGAATAAAGTAACATCATTGGTTGAGATCAATTACCTTGACCATTGTCATTTGCTCTACAGACAATAAAAACGTACTTGAGGAGTGGAATAAGAGTGAGGGAATAGATAATAACAGATAAAGCTCCAATTAAATCCTCTGGGTCACCAATTCCATCAGGAAATGTATTGTAGAAAACATACAAAGGAGATGTGCCTAAATCTCCATACACCACACCAAGGCTTTGAAATGCAAGCTGCAGAAGCATTAATGTCGAATATTTCTGCAAGGAAATCAGCAACAAGAGCAAAGCTATTATAGAAATAGCACAATATCTTAAAATATATGTCAAATCCATGCCAGGTATAGGCAGGCTACATTCGTTGTATATATGTCATGCAATTATTTCAACCATGTAGTATGAAGAGTTGCAATGCAATCAATAAACAATGCCAGACTACATCCAAAGGAATGCATTCCTTTGCACAATTCATTTTCCTTTTCTTTTCTCCAAATAAACAGATCATAAAAAAAACAAAAACAAAACTTCAATTGACTGCCAGATTTTAATAATTCAAAGCCTTCAGAATTGACATTACTAATTATATGGGTATTTTAGGCTTTGAAACATTTCACTACAGAATGGAGGAGAGCGAGAGAGAGAGAGAAGGAGAAAGATAATACCTTTTCCTTGTACATATTTCTAAGCCTCTTAGCCTCCTCATCCATGGGCTGATCAAGCTGCTGATCCAAAGCCCAGACGCTACCTTTGTTATCAGTGTTTTCATCAGCAGACATTCTTCTGGCCATCTGCATCTCAATAATTCAAATGATTCTCCTTCCCTTCCACCAATTCACCTCTCGAGTATAATTTTTTCAATCCCTTAGTTGTTCTTTCTTACTCTCCCTCTACATTGACAGCTGCAACCCCATATACTTTAGTCCTGACTGAACCTAAACCAAAACAGATATCAGTGTTTACAATCTGAAAATTCTTCTGCTTTTGAATTGCTTGCAAATTACCAGGAAAAAAAATCTCAGCAACAGCTAAAAATCAACATTACTTTCCCAACTAAGAAGCTTTATCAAGTATGAAACATTAAAAGATCATTCAAGTGAATCAAATCCACTACCCAGAAATCCAACACAGAAAATGAACAAGTTGAATAGACAACAAAACCCAGAGCATGCATTTTAGTACCTCAATTGAACGGAAATAAACTGCTACACAAAAAATGAACAAAACCCAGCACTCCATTGAAGCCATGACAATCCAAGAACACCTAGCAAATGATTTACATAGAAAAATGTAAAGGAAAAAAAGAAAAACAAAACAAAATCAAAACTTTCAGTGTCTTTACTTGGTTGTAAGTGATATTCCCACGTGGGTTTAGCCTTGAAGACTTCAGGTACGCATCAAAGCATACCATAAAAGTGACAGAGATGAACAAACGCCATTCTTCAGAGCAAAAGGAGTAACAGAGAGACGGCGGTGCTCCTAGTTCATTGAGCCATTCCTTATCCTAGTTAAATTATAGTACATGGTAAATATTGTTTTTCCTCCCCTTTTCTGGTTAATTATCCACGTACTTATCAGCAAGCTTGTGTTTTGGCGACAACCCAAATACGATCTTTGTTAAAACTACAACTGTAAAAGCAAACAATCTAGCTTGAAAAGAAGAAAAGTAAAACAGTTGAATAAAAATTGGACAAAAAAGTATATTGCTTTAAAAACTGGAAGAAATTTAAATTGCGTTTTTTTTCTTTCTGATTTGGTAAAAATGCGTCTTGCTCTTTGCAAGTAATGTTTATGGGTTTCTTTGTGTTAATATGCAAGATTCTTAATGTAGAAAATACCAAAAATACTCATTTCCTAAGATTTAGAGCGCGGGTTTCTTATGTACGGAATCCAATAAGGATTTGCGTTGCGTCCACATGGTTAAAACTAAAGGGAATATTTGTAGAAGAAAATTAATACAAAATGGAGGGCGAGGACATTCTTTTCATTAAGCATCGAGTGAAGACAAGCACGCATGTTTGGGAAAACAAAAATAAAGGGCAACTGTTAATGTGAGGAGGTCCTAATTATATTAATAATCTATATTTTGTGATCAGTAATTCTGTGGTGTATATTGTGGTATATTCAGCGTATCGGTACCGGTAGATCGTTATAAATGATTAAATTAATTTTTTAATTGAATAACTAAAAGAATGAAAGGACTCATTTGTGATATCTTTATTAACAGAGCATGGTTATGTGATCTTTATTAAGAGATTCGTGTGGCTAGCTAGGCCACGTAGTAATGTTTTAGCTTAATTTAAGATATTTGTTTTTGGGTTTTTGGCCCTCACTTCACACAAAAATAGAAGAAAAAAAATCCAATGAAAAGAAGTATGTGCTTGAAAATATCACAAGCTGAGACATCATGATTTGGACAAGACTGCATACCAACAATGGGTTGACGTTAAGTCAAAACATGGAGTTTTGTTGGATCCAACCGAGTCACAATTTCCTTTTGGTAATTTGAGTCAAAACTTAACTAGCAGGCCCAAAACCAAGTCCAATCAAAATATACATCATTGTTCAGCCATGCATGAACATCATTCGCTTTTCAGCCATACATAACGATAAAGAAGGCTACCGCAATCACAAGAGGAACCCACCCACCTTGATTGACCTTAAGGAGTACTGCAGAAAAGTAAGTGCCCTCCACTACCAATGTTAAGCAAGCGAAAATGAGTACAAGAGTCCAATGGCAGCGCCACACTAATATCATGACTAAAATCATAAGAAATGTGGTTACCAACATGACTATGACAACAGCCGTCCCTGTTGCAACATGTACGATTGTGTTAGTTGTTGCAAGTTCAACCAGCGAGCTTGGAACGGGATACGACAAGTAGTAGTCAGAGCGCATGTTTAAGAAGAGAAATGTGAACAAGATTTGTCTAAAATTTTGCCCAGTAATCACTACTCGGGATGAAATTCATTGGCTCAGTCAAAAGTTTATAGTTTATTCCATGACATGTTACTATAGGGATATTATGCAGAATCAAAAGAAGGTGTGATATGAAGGGAACAAGAGGATAAACTCACCAGCAGCGTTCCCAATTTGGCTTTGATTTTTAAATCCAGCTGTCACAGAAATGCATAGAATCATAAGAATCCAATTAATGTCTGGAATATATATCTGGTGATGGCTCCTTGATGTATATACAACTTTGACTCTTGGGAAACAGCCAAGCGCAAGGGCCTGCTGGATTAATGAAAAAGTTGCAGTTATGGTGGCCTGACTTGCAACAATAGCAGCTGCAGTTGCAACACTAAACACAGGCCAGTATATGCTTTCTGCAAAAATGATTAATCGGCATTTTTCAGCAACAAATTACCATCAGCATGGGGCATTCACACTACTCTGAAAATGTATGAGAGTTTAAGAGAATTTTCTTGAATAACAGACTTCAAATGAAAATTGCCATGTATAATTTCCTAGTTATTTATGAAAGTCTTCATGAAGTGTAAATTCCTAGTTCCTATGACACTCTTACTCACGTAACGGACCAACTCCTAAAAGCCATTTTTTCTTTTTGATGTCCAAACTGGTCTTCAAGAATGAGAGCAACTCCATTGTTAGGAAAGTGCTAACGATGATGATTATACCCATAACTAAATCACCCTTCCAAGTACTAGTATTTTATTTTTGAACTGCTTCAGTTTCAGTATCATGATATCTCTCATAAATATTGAGTTGGTGCTCAGACAATAAATGTGTTATGTTCATATCTTGTTGACAAGTTCCACACATGTTGCAGGGAAAATACCTTACAGGGACATTTCTCACAATATACATACATAGACACACACACACACACACACGCACATATATCAGCATTATGACCAGATGACAACAAGTATTTTAATTTAAAATTTTACTTTGTATTAGTTTTGGGACTACCAAACAAAAACACCCAAGACATAAACGTTTATGCTATATTTTATAGTTGAGAGATCAAACAAACCTGGAATAGAGTAATAAAAAGCCCCGAACACATGATGTGGATATTTCATAAGGTAGGCAGCTTGACCAGAGTAGGCTAAAAGAAGGCAAGGAAATGCAACTAATGTGAAAGCAATCTGTACGGACAGGACTGGGAAATGGGATACGTCAGCAAAAAGAGTTTCTGTTCCTGTAAATGGTGCACAACCAGTATTCAGAGAGTAAAGTCACAAAATTCAGATCAGAAACAAGAGAAGGGATCAAATTCAATAATAGCATACAGAAATTTTACCATTTATACAAAGCATGATACCTCCGAGAGATGCCCACCCATCTATACCACCCTTTCGAAAAAATGCTATCACATACACAGGTGAAAAAGCTCTCAAAATGCTAGTATCATATTTCCAAATGTTGAAGATGCCAATTCCTCCAATTAAGAGAAACCAAAGGAGAACAATTGGTGCAAACAGCCAACCAAATTTCTGTGTACCAAATTGTTGCATGATAAACAAAATTACCAGTATAACAACAGCAACAACCACGACTATGTCTGTATAAAGAATGTGTAACTACAATTAGATAAGATTTAGAAAATTGATAGATTCAGTTGCAGAAATGACAAAGCAAAAAAAAGAACTTTACAACCAGGAGCATGGAGATACCATTACTAATATGATACCGGCAACAATTGATCCCACCAACTGCTGACAGAACTGCGAAAGATAGTATGGTTAAAGTATTACTTATACTTATCGAAAAGAATATGGCTAAGCAGCTTCCAATGGAACTGAGAAAGAATCATTGTCACCGCATTAGCATTAAAGAAAACATTAAATATTTTCAAAAGGAGCTCTCAGATGTGGTGTATGTAAAATCCTTTGAATCATAGGCAATTTTCCTTCTAGAATAATGTCCTCTACGTATTAATTACATAAGTCCAAACTATACAATCAGTTCAAACGGAACAGCCAAAATCAAGCCCCTAATTGGAGGCTTCAAAAGGAATAATGCAATATTATAAGACTAAAAAGTCATTTAAACCTAGATTTTTTTTCTCTTTTTAAGAAACACATGCTTTTATTAAATAGAAAGAAAGAAGCTACACGGAGTTCAGCAAGGTGTTCATTGCAATCATTTTCACAGTCAACAAACAAAGCTTGTGCTACATTCAACTCAAAGTTCCTCCTTAAGACGGATTAGACTAAAAGAAAAACCCCTGAAGATGTCCATAGAGAAGTTAGAAATCGAATTCTATCTCAAAGTATACCCGCATCCCATCAAACGACCTATTACTTTTTTCCAACCAAATAATCCTCAAAGAAGTCAATATCACACACTGCAAAAGGGTAATCTCCTTTTTATTGGCCCCAATACCCGAATAACCTTCCACCAATGACAAGTAGCAGTTCGTAGGCAAAGCCACACCACCCCAGACACATTTGAATACTAACCCATATTTGCATTGTAAAAGGGCAATGTTAAAATTTATTACCACTCTTCCACTCCCATTTGCACCAAGCATTTTCACGATCCTATGTACGTTTCTATCCACTATATAATTCTTAACTAACTGACAGAAAGTCAAAAACATACATTCTTGGTCAAACGAAGCCCAAAGAAAATTTTTAAAGCTTACCACCCAAAGACATTTCACTTCATAAATTACAAGATCCCATCCAAGAGATGTAAATCATGTGATATGGTTTAACCTTAGGCATCAATGCATCAATTTGTGACATTTCTGGAGTTATAAATAACTCGCTTTCATATTGATTTTTGTATAAAGAAAAAGTGACAGCAGCATGCATGCAGATAGTTCAGAAAGTGGACTACATATTCAACTTAACAGTATAGCATCCATATGCTCAATATAATGGCAAGATGAGTGCCATTGGAGACAACAAGTTCTCTTCTTTTTTGTCATCTAATTACTAAAGATATTATTTTTCAAGTGTTATTATGTTTCTATTCCAGAAGTAAGAAAGCTATTCCAAGAAGTAACCAATATATCGAAAAATAATTTTTATAACCCTTGCAGCATCTCCATAATTGCCACCAGTTGGTTCCTTTGACCCTATCACCTTGCCCAATCTCCAACAGTGGCAGTGCAACATTATTCTACTAGATGCTGAAATCTGTTTAACAACTTTTCTTGTTTAAAGGTTTCCTCATTTAACAAAGGTAACTGCTAAACCTGGCTTATCCAGGCACTTGTTTAAACTCATATACTATTTGGCTGATCTCATTTACCTTTTTGTGTAACCTACTCACATAAAATATGTTGAAAAAGATCTGCATCTGTAAGAAGATTATTTATGAACACATAGAAAAATGATCCTACTACATGAACATATATACCTGATATGGCTGGAGTCAGAATCCCATCCCCTATCACCATACAAGAGCCAATCAGGACAAGAATAAGAAGTACGTTCTGAATCAATGCATGTCCCTCCAACCATCTCTTAGTGCTTGCAGCAAATGATTGCTCACCAAATGTAGAACGGCTATATGTTGTTAGCTCCTCATCACTTTGGTCTTGGTTAGGAACAGTCTTTATTTTTGCATGTCGACAAAGTAATGAATAAAGAGCAAATGTTCCACCTGAAACCATGAGGAGGATAAGCTTACAGGAACCAAGTGTCAGAGGAATCAAACATGGAAATTAGCCTCATTCAGAAGGAACATACTGGGATACTGTATCTCATGGTATACTAGCATCAGAAGTACATATAGCAAAGGATGCATGATATTAGTTAAAAAAAGAATACATAAAAGAGTCTGAATCACCCCTTGCATCTGATCTCATGAGTTTTTACGTTAACGTAAATATTTGCTTTGGCAATGATATTTTTTTTTTTTTTAACGGGCAATGCTAGCACAGAAATTCATTACTAGAGGCCATACATGAGATGAAAATAAATCAGGAAAAATTGTGGCGTAAAGCAGCAATATTGATATGGCACTTTATATATATATACGAGGCCATCACCCAGTGCTATTTCCACATTGAGCAGGTATTTTAAGGACCTGAAAACTGGAAGTGGGTTTCCAGAGGTTTCACAAGAAACAGCTACTCTGATAAAGGAATCCTCCAAGGCTCAAACTTGCGCTCTGCCATCCCAAGATGTTGCGGTTCAATCATCACTCACCCCGATTTTTCACCCAAGATGTTGCGGTTCAATCATCACTCACCCCGATTTTTCACACTTTACACTTTATATGAAACTCCCTTTAAATAAAGATTCACTTTTTGTGTGACTTCATACTTTCAAACATGTATTTCCCTCCCTCTCGTTGTATTTTATGCAGTCTTATGGTAAATCATTAAGACAACCCTCCAATATTTTTAAAATAATTCTGGCATCAATTAATTTCAGAATACTTATTCTTGCACTCACTTTACAATTTTCCATAAGTTCTTGTCAACCATAGACTCATTATGTACATCTTCATGATTGATCCACACAAAGTGTTACAGACCTTTGTCGCTTCCAAGGTGACTAATAAATCAAAATTATGTTGACCTTCTCAAACAAGCGGGGATTTAATTCAAAATGTTTCTGTTATGTGGGTGTCTTGTACATGTTTACATAATGTTTCTACAACAAATTTTCATCTGTTCCCCTCTCCCTCACAAAATTTATTCTTCCCCCTTTTCTAATTCATGGAATCATCATGAAGAAAACCTTCCATCAATTCTTCCAAGGGGAAAGAGAAATAAGAACCACCAATCAATTAAGAGAATGAGGGATATAAATAAATGAACTGCACTGTTGGCGATACGTGAAACAAAAGGCTCAAAAAACCATCCATAATGTAATTCTACCTACTAGTAAACAATCAATATAGATAAACTAAAATTAATTATCTGGGAACTGCATTACTAGTAGAAAGATGGGCAAGGGGAGCCTATACGATTAGAATAAAGTAACTTTATTGGCTAAGATCAATTACCTTGACCATTGTCATTTGCTCTACAGACAATAAGAACATACTTCAACAGTGCAATAAGAGTGAGGGAATATATAACAACCGATAAAGCTCCAAGTAAATCATCTGGCTCGTCAATTCCATAAGGAAATGTATTATAGAAAACATACAAAGGAGATGTGCCCAAATCTCCATAGACCACACCAAGGCTTTGAAATGCAAGCTGCAGAACCGTTATTGATGAACATTTCTGGAGGAAACAAAAAGCAATCAGAAACAGGAGAAAAGTTAGTCCTAAAATAACACAGTATCTTAAATATCTGTTAATTGCATTCAGGCCATGCCTGGAATGGGCAGGCTACATTCAGTGCAACCATATAGAATAAAAGAGTCACAATCAATAACAAAAGTCTGACTTCATCTAATTGAATGCATTCATTTTCACAATTTCAATTCACTTATCTCTATCTTAACTGAGCATAAACAAGAGAGAGAGAGAGAGAGAGAGAGAGAGAAAAAAAAAATCAATTGGGTACCAGATACAAAAATGACATTCCCAATTTTTGGTGAACTGGGCTTTGAAGCAGTTTACTGCAAAATGAGAAGGGGATGAGAGAGAGAGAGAGAGACAGAGAACCTTGTCCTCGGACATGTTACTGAACTTCTTAGCCTCCTCATCCATGGGCTGGTCCAGCTGTTGATCCAAAGCCCAGACACCACCTTTTTTCTCAGGGTCTTCATTTTCAGTCATTCTGGTGGCAATTTGCAACAATTCAAATGGTTCTTCTTCCCCTGCAAGAATTCACCTTTCTGGCAACATTTTTCCAATTTCTCAGTTGGGTTTTTTTCTTCTTCTTCTTAGGTTTCTTCTCTTACCCCAGATTTTCCTTGGTGTTTGCTGGTGGGTTGGGACAACAGTTTGTGGAGGATGAGGGGCAGGAATTTTTGTAAGTCTCATGTTTTTCGGGAGGGCAATAGTAAGGTGGTTGATGCCTTGCCTATTTATGGTGCGCATATCATGCCCCAATTATAGATTTTCATAGTGTTGCTTCTCTCTCGTTTGCTTGTCATCTCTTGTTTGTGTGTACTTTGTGCCAAATTTCACATCAGTGGAAACAGACTGCTACACCAACACTGAAGGACAACCCAGAACTCCATTGAAGCCATAACACCCCAACGCCGCCCAACTTGTGATTCACGTAAAAACAAAAGTGCTATAGAAATGTTTTTGATATCAAGAAAAAAAAAATTAAAGCAAAAGAATAAATAAATAAATAACCTCCCAATAATTTGGCTACGGATTGTTACCCAAATTGGGCCTGACCTGCAACAGGGTGAAGGCCCAGATGAGTAGTCTTAGTGAAGCGTAGTATTTTAGGCTTTGGCAGCCCATGTAACTGATGAATAATTGAAAACTATATTAATGTCTCTTTTTGTGTTTTTGGTGGAAATTATTATTGAAGAATAATAAAGTAAATAACAAAATTATTATTGAAAATTTACCACAATGTATATATTTCCCCATGTTCAATAGGAGTAGCACAAACAGATATCCCATTTGTCAAGATTTTCTCAACACTTCTTTACTTTTTAATTGCATTCCTAATATGATTTAAAACGCAACTAGAGTGAAAAACAATCGGCATTTACAGTATGATATAAGTTTCATTGATGATAGACAGAAAATTTACACATAGAAAATCTGTCCAACATTCAATAGACTCTCATGAGGAACATTGAAGATCACACTGTGCTCCCTGCAAACTTTTCTAAGAAATGCATAAATGTAATCAACAGCTATCTTTTTGTAGAACCTGGAATCCCTCCTTGCTCTCACGATCGTGTTCCCAAGTATATGCACCACCCCAGAATCCCTACAATTATTCAAAAATTCTAGCTCATCAATCTCATTCTGCATGCTCAGTTGACTGGATGAACTCGTAGTATTGTTTGCATGCAATGGAGATTTAGCAGGCACAATTGAGTCCACTGATGAGATAGTAAGGTCCGCAGTCGATCCAATTGTGTTGCCATTATTATTTATTAGGCCTTCCCTTGACCTCTCAGTTTGCTGGCCATATATACTGTACTCATCCGAGTCTGAACACCCCTCCATCATGGACTCGAGCCGGACAAACATGAAAAGGTTATCGAAGAGTTTTTTCTCAAAGTCATCATCTTTCTTGTGGAGGTCTTTGTAACCGTATCTTGCAACGCAACGGAACATGTGGAAACTCTTGGGGCCAATCCGCTTTACAAGGAATCTTTCTTCTTCTGGGACAGTGTATACAGGAAGATACTTCACACAAACAAAGACGACAACAGAATGGATCGCAGGCAGGTTGGTGATGAAGTGGGAAAAGATGTGAGGCACTCCACTTGCAAGCTCAGTGTACACAAGTCCTATCCCAGGGACCCGAACCAATCCTAAACTGGGGCCAAGTCCAAGAAGCCATGCCATTGAAACCTTACTGTGCATCTCAAACTCATAACGTTTCAATGTACCATAATGCCAAACATACATGATGAGAAGAAAGGCAGCTGCAATCACAAGAGGAACCCATCCACCTTGATCAACCTTGAAGAGGACAGCAGAAAAGTAAGTGCATTCCACAACCAGTGACAAACCAGTGAATATCAGGACAAGAATCCAATGACAGCGCCACACTAATATCATGATTAGAGTCATGAGCAGTGTGGTTGCTAGCATGACCACAACAACTGCCGTCCCTGTTATAACATAAAACATAATGCAATTGAGTGCAAGCTTGATTTGGAAGAAAGACCTTGAGCTACCATAAATATTAACTTATTTAAAATCAAAGACCAAAATTCTAATTGAATATTATTAAAGGTGTACACATACTCTTGTATCTCTTATTAATGTTTTGGGTTGTTAAATCATTCAATAAAGTAAGAACTTCTATCTTCTCTTTGTTTTGGATTGTTATCATGGTACCAGAGCAGGTTTTTATAAGATTTCTCACAGCAGCAAGTCAGTTAACTATTGGTCTGTACTGTCACCTCAAAAAGTTCACCACCTCCCTACTTCTTCACCTCCTAATTTATCCCAAATACATCTTCACCTCCTAATTTATCTCAAATACTTCTTCCTCTCATATTTCTTTATTTAAAGTTCCAAACATTCTTTCCAAGAATTTTTCATAATTGCGTTTTGAGCCTAGTTCAACAAAGTAGAGAATATGGCTTACATAAGCTTCAGGACATTTAGCAAAGGATGAACTTACCATATGCATTTCCAATTTGGCTTTGATTTTTGAATCCAGCAGTCACAGAAATGCAAAGAATCATAAGAATCCAATTAATATCTGGAATATATATTTGGCCGAGGAACTTCTTTGATGTGTGTACAACTTTGACTCTAGGAAAACAGCCAAGTGCAAGAGCCTGCTTAATTATTGAAAAAGTCGCCGATATAGTTGCTTGACTTGCAACTATTGCAGCTAGAGTCGCAACAATGAAGACTGGCCAATATATTTTCTCTGCAGTATGAAAAGCAATAAGCATCTTTGGAACAACAATATGCTACTTATTGTTTAAGAGATTATGTTACTCGTTTCCCCTATATTCTCAGTTTACATTAGAGAGTCAATAGAGAATGGCACAGTGAAAAAATTTGAGTGAATCCAAATTGTATGGGCTCATAGAGATGAAAGATTTCTTAATACTCATATCATAAAAGAACTTTATGGAATTTGTATCTGTTTCATCTTACAATTTATCATTTTAATCCGTGAATTAGAAATTATCCTTTATGTCTCAACTTTCCACATGAATTTGAAAGCAGGTTGGTTTAGTAAATTAAAGTTCAGCCCAACTTTGGATTTTTGTAGAGAGTTTTACCCACACACCCAAAGTCAAAGTTTGAAGCTACCAATCCCCCTTTGACCTCCTTCGTACCCAAAAAAAGACCCAGTAATCTACATTAGTTAAGATTTAAAAGAATAAAAAGACTTGAGTAAATATTTTTATATTTTTCAAATTCTATCAAATACTATTACTAAAAATTTTAGTGCGCTTAATTATGAGAAAACCGTTTATGTGTTCTCCCATGTATGCAAAATAACGATTAGGGCAAACCTGGAATGGAACGATAAAATGCTTGAAGCACAGTTTTGTCGTCATGATATTTCATAAGGTACGCAGCTTGTCCAGAATAGGCTAAAAGAAGGCAAGGAAACACAACCGTAGTGAAAGCAATCTGTACAGCTGAAACTGGAAAATGGGCAAGGTCGGCAAAGAGTGCTTCAGTCCCTGTAATCATTCATAATTTGTCATCAGAATCCAAAATAGCAGATGTGGTATTAGGATACAGAAACTTAAAGAGCTGAAAAGTGAAATTAGGATACAGAAACTTTACCTGTTATACTAAGCATGATACCTCCAAGGGAAGTCCAACCATCTCTCCCATTCCTTTTAAAATACCGATATATATAGACGGGCGAAAAAGCTCTCAAAACGCTACTGTCATGTTTCCAGATGTTGAATATGCCAATTTAAAAGAATAAAAAGACTTGAGTAAATATTTTTATATTTTTCAAATTCTATCAAATACTATTACTAAAATTTTTAGTGCGCTTAATTATGAGAAAACCGTTTATGTGTTCTCCCATGTATGCAAAATAACGATTAGGGCAAACCTGGAATGGAACGATAAAATGCTTGAAGCACAGTTTTGTCGTCATGATATTTCATAAGGTACGCAGCTTGTCCAGAATAGGCTAAAAGAAGGCAAGGAAACACAACCGTAGTGAAAGCAATCTGTACAGCTGAAACTGGAAAATGGGCAAGGTCGGCAAAGAGTGCTTCAGTCCCTGTAATCATTCATAATTTGTCATCAGAATCCAAAATAGCAGATGTGGTATTAGGATACAGAAACTTAAAGAGCTGAAAAGTGAAATTAGGATACAGAAACTTTACCTGTTATACTAAGCATGATACCTCCAAGGGAAGTCCAACCATCTCTCCCATTCCTTTTAAAATACCGATATATATAGACAGGTGAAAAAGCTCTCAAAACACTACTGTCATGTTTCCAGATGTTGAATATGCCAATACCTCCAATTAAGAGAAACCAAAGAAGCACAATGGGAGCAAAGAGCCAACCAACTTTATCTGTACCATAGTGCTGTACGCTAAACAAGCCTACTAATATTACAACAGCAACAAGTATGACATAATCTGCACCACAACAAACAAAGTGTCAGTTAAAGACATAATTCAGCAGTAGTGACTGAGAGAGGTACAGAGGCAAGGAACCACATATAAAAAATAAAAACATTTAGTTCCAAGGAATATGACGGTACCATTTTTCATGCCAGGGCTGCTTACTTTGATCCCGCCAGCAGCTGATAAAACTGCCAAAAGCAAAGCATAGTTGATATCTTCTAATGATACAGAGAGAAACAAAACAATTTTAACCAGACTCATTTCAAGCGTTGATTTTTTCCCATTTTAATTCCTTTCTTGGAAGAATCTTTAGTAATCTACAGCTCCTATTAAAGTATATTTCTTTTGTTTTGGAAAGAAACTCTAGGATTGTAAGGTTGGAAGAGATTGTTATCCGTGGCGATAACCAGACTCACCCTCGCATCCCATTATCTTTTTCCATATTTTTTTTTTTTTGTTTATTTACCTATTTAGGCCTTTTAATAAAAAGTTCCTTGCGCTTCTTGTGTGCCTGGGTTGTGCCCCCATTGGGCCCTTTCTAATAAACAACTTTTGCTTATCATAGAAAAAATAAGGGCAGAGAGACAAAAAGGATAAACAGATGGATTATTAGGAAAAGTTATATGACTTCTAGTGTCAAGAAATGTGTACCAGATATAGCTGGAGTAAGAATCCCATCACCAATCACCATACAAGTGCCAACGAGGACCAGAAGAAGAAGGGCATTCTTCCTTGATGCATGCCCCTCCAACCACTTCTTGGTTTTTGCAGCATATGATTGTTCATGGAAAGTAGAACGACTATACGTTGTTAGCTCTTCATCAGTCCGGTGTTGGTTAGGAATAGTTTTTACATTTGCATGTCGGCAGAGCAATGAATAAAGAGCAAATGTTCCACCTGCAACGCAGAAACCACTTATTCCGTAGAACTTTATGGCGACTCATGAGCAACAAACAGTACCATACAACTCTTGGACGCATGCAGTTTGAGAACAACGAGCACAAGATACACGGTGTCATGTTTAAATTAATTTCAGGAAAATAACTAATAAAGGAAATTAGTTAAACACCTCCTCTATTCTAAATCAAGAAGTATATGTACCAATGTGTTACCTAAATAATCAGTTCGTTTGCAAATGTGGCTTCACTCACACTGCTACGAGTGATACGGTAAAATCAACGACATGAGTTCAGGGTCAAATTGGTAAGTAAAAATAATATGGGCATGTAAGCCGAACACTAGACACATGTATATGCTACTTCTTTTACAAAATAATTCTGTCAAGCTAATTACTTTCCTGCCAGAGACTACTTTATTAAAGATAAACAAGAAAAAGGAAACAAAAGCTAATTTGTTCTTCAACATTTTTCTTAACAATTACTGATGGGAAAGTCTGACTAGAATGTTCTAATAAAAATGCAGAACAATTCACATATTTGACCAAGTATACTGCTTTTATGTTTATCATTACAGGTAGACACATGTGAATAATCACCATTGCATGAGGTAAGCTGTAACAGTGAACATATGTACTTCATCCCTTTTACCATCCCATAAAACACCAGACAATTGATGAAGCAAATCTACATATAGAGTTTGGTTTACCTTGACCACTGTCGTTCGCCCTACAAACAACGAACACATATTTGAGGAGCGGGATAAGAGTAAGAGAGTATATTATCAATGACAGAGCTCCAACCACATCCTCCGGGTCTGAAATTCCATGAGGAAATGTATTGTAGAAAACATACAAGGGAGAAGTACCCAAATCTCCAAAAACCACTCCAAGACTTTGGAATGCAAGCCGCATAAGCAATAGTGCAGAGAACTTCTGGAGATTTGAAAATTGGATCAGCAAACACAATCAAGAATATACATTATCCTCAGAATCCACTAATATCAGGCAATTACTTAAACCATATAGCATATCACTTTTTCAGTCGTTTTCATAGCAATTGAAATACGTCCAACAAAAACTACACAAGAAATCCACATATTCATTTCCAACATCTTAAAATATGCACAACATTATTATCACGCTGAAGTCATTTACCAGTTGAAAATCTTTGGGAATTGGAATTATAAATTGGAACTTGTTGACTTACAAACAGTTAAACGCCAGAAGGTTTAAATTCATTGACAAGGAGTAAATACCATTTCACTTCATTGAATTACATCTGTATATACAGGAGGAAGAGAGAGAGAGAGAGAGAGAGAGAGAGAGAGAGAGAGAGAGAGGTACCTTTTCCCTGTACATATTTCTAAGCCTGCCAGCCTCCTCATCCATGGGTTGGTCAAGCTTCTGATCCAAAACCCACATACTGCCTTTGTTGGTATCACTATCTTCATCAATCTCCACTCTTGAAGCCATTGAAATTTCAAATGATTCTGCAGCTTTCATAAGGCTATAATAGAAAACTCAAAGAAAACCAATATGAAATATCACTAAAAGTGATTAGAACCAGATCTTCAAAATTTGATCTTCACTTGAAATCCATCCCAATAGAACTATGAATTGAAACTCAGCAATACAATCTGAAGACCAAATAAGGACAGAACAAAAACCCGTGATTAGGGTGATATGTCCAGTTCAAAAACAACTCATTTTAAAGCAACAAGAGACAATTACTAGACAGTAACAAGAAATTGACATCAGTCCTGTAGCCAGGCAGAGCTCAAAAATTGACACCCACCTAAAGTTCAATCAAACAAAACTAAAGGTTCAATCTTGGTACAAGCTGAAAATGAATTAAAGCTACTTCAACTCAGTGCCAGCAATTACTGGAATTGAACAAAAAGCATTAAAACTCAGAGACCCAATTGAGGGCAGAAGAGCTCAATAGCACCTCACACAGAAAATGAAATGATAGAACAGACAAAGAAGTTATAATTATTACTTTGTCACTGGAATTCCCAAGTGGGGTCAGCTGGAGAAGAGGTTGAGGCTCAGCCACATGATCAATAAGCATCCCTTTGTACTAAAGCAGAGAGATGAGCAGAAACCCAAGTCGGTTTTCCGGGAAAAAAACGGCTTCTGATCCAAAACCCACATACTGCCTTTGTTGGTATCACTATCTTCATCAATCTCCACTCTTGAAGCCATTGAAATTTCAAATGATTCTGCAGCTTTCATAAGGCTATAATAGAAAACTCAAAGAAAACCAATATGAAATATCACTAAAAGTGATTAGAACCAGATCTTCAAAATTTGATCTTCACTTGAAATCCATCCCAATAGAACTATGAATTGAAACTCAGCAATACAATCTGAAGACCAAATAAGGACAGAACAAAAACCCGTGATTAGGGTGATATGTCCAGTTCAAAAACAACTCATTTTAAAGCAACAAGAGACAATTACTAGACAGTAACAAGAAATTGACATCAGTCCTGTAGCCAGGCAGAGCTCAAAAATTGACACCCACCTAAAGTTCAATCAAACAAAACTAAAGGTTCAATCTTGGTACAAGCTGAAAATGAATTAAAGCTACTTCAACTCAGTGCCAGCAATTACTGGAATTGAACAAAAAGCATTAAAACTCAGAGACCCAATTGAGGGCAGAAGAGCTCAATAGCACCTCACACAGAAAATGAAATGATAGAACAGACAAAGAAGTTATAATTATTACTTTGTCACTGGAATTCCCAAGTGGGGTCAGCTGGAGAAGAGGTTGAGGCTCAGCCACATGATCAATAAGCATCCCTTTGTACTAAAGCAGAGAGATGAGCAGAAACCCAAGTCGGTTTTCCGGGAAAAAAACGAAGGCTGAAACAGAAAGAGAGAGTTGTGTGCAGGTTCACAGGCCGTTTTGGCTGTTTATTTGTTCAAAGCACAAAGTTTCAGCCAAATAACAGAAAAAAACACAAGGCCTTTCTCAGCTGCTTTAATGAAAGAGTTTACACATAAAGCATCTCTCTGCCAATCAATGAGAGAGAATATGGAAAGAGACAGACAGAGGAGGAAGAGAGTAGGAGGAGAAGTTGTTTGGTTTTGATGTATATATTTTGTTATTCATTTCCAAGAGAGACAAACACATTTGGTAATTAATCAGCTGATGTCTGAGACTTAAGCAGCTAATTTGTATATAATCTACTGCCATTAAATAAAAAGCAAAATAACAAAGAATTTAATAAAATATTAAGAAGGGTGAAACAAAATTAATAATATGAATTTATTTTCAGATGCAATGCAAATATGAATTTCTGATGCGGGCAGGTTGTCACTTGTCAGTAAAATTCGATTGTGTAAAGTTTTTTTTAATGTTAGCAGTGGCCCCACGAAACTGATTGGTAGATTGGGAGTGTCTAATCTGGTGGAACCCCTTCTATCTTTGTGTGGCTATACTAATTTTAGTACTATTATATGCAATAATGTGCGCCACCTTTCTTCCAGCAATATATTTATTTATAGCCAATTCCTGTGTCATCATAAAAAGTACATCAGAAATATCAAACCAATTTTCCGGAAAAGCAAATATGGTCCGGTGAAAAAAATAATGAACATGGGATGATGGACTGTGAATATTCAGATGTCACAATACAAAAGCCAAAACATCTAAATGTACTTGGAAATGTTATAGCATATGTATCCAATATTTATTTTAATATTTTGCACTCGATGAAATGAAAGAATGAATCGTTAAATGTTTCTTCGTCGTAAGAAAAAGTGGTTTTTTTGATATAGTGGTATTTCCTCTATTATCAGCTAAATGTTTTATTTCTTTCTAATCTGTGAAGAATTTTATTTGATTAATGCATGCATGTAAATTTTTTAACAGTGTGAGTTTTTAATTACTAAAACCTAGAGTTGAAATTTAGGTACCAGTTTGAATTAATAATAATAGAAAAAATTGGTAAGATTCTTTTTCATTTTTGCTGGTAAGATTCTTTGCTAATTGTCTTCTCTCTTTTTTCTTTGGTAGGAGTGTTAATCGTCTTATAAAATTATTAAGAATCTTTTGTTGTCAATCATGTACATACGGAAAAGTCAAGGCCTTGGTTTAATTACTAAATTTGAAACTAAAGATTGCTAGGGTTTACAAATTACTTTCTTCCAAACCTATCATTTTAGCATTTTCATCTCACATACCTCACATTCTCTTTTCATAAACTTTGTGATACATCTAGTTAGGGGCCGTTTGATAAACATTTCAATTTTATTTTTTATTTTTTATTTTTTGTGCTTGAATATAGAGGGAAAAGAGGGACGATGGAAGTGAGTGGAGATGAGATTGAGAGGGAAGATGAGAGGGGAGTGTTAGAGTATGATAGGATTGTGACACTTGGCATAAGATTAGAGGTTGTGATGGTTAGTTAGTTAAGATAGTTGCGTATAGTAGTGTATTCTCACTACTACAAAAAGGGCAAAAGACGACCAGAAAAAGACGACGGTAGAACAAAAAACCGTCGTTGTTTTTAAAAAGACGACGGTAATAAAAAACCGTCGTGGATAAGTGACTTAAACAACTAAAAAATGGAGATACTGTTGAGAATTTTTTTATAACGACGCACACAAATAAAAAAGCGTCGTCTTATTAAAAAGATTTTCTTCAGAGTTAAAATCTGACCAAAAAACAACGACAGCATGTATGACAAGCGTCGTCTTTTAAAAATCAAGTGTCTTTTTTTTGGTAAAGACATGGTTGTTTTGAAAGAACTGTCGTCTATTATAAGTAAAGACGACGGTTTTTTTATAAAACGGGTCGTCTATTATTAAGTAAAGACGACCCTTTTTATATGAAAAGGGTCGTCTATTATGAAGTAAAGATGACCATTTTTATATAAAAAGGGTCGTCTATTATATTTAAAGACGACGGTTTTTTTATAAAAAGGGTCGTCTATTATTAAGTAAAGACGACGGTTTTTTTATAAAAAGGGTCGTCTATTATTAAGTAAAGACGGTTTTTTTTTATAAAAAGGGCCGTCTATTATATTTAAAGACGACAGTTTTTTATAAAAATGGTCGTCTATTATGAAGTAAAGATGACGGTTTTTTTTTAAAAAAGGTCGTCTATTATGAAGTAAAGATGACGGTTTTCTTTAAAAATGGTCGTCTATTATGAAGTAAAGATGACGGTTTTTTTTTAAAAAGGGTCGTCTATTATGAAGTAAAGATGGCGGTTTTTTTAAAAAATGGTCGTCTATTATATGAAAAGATGACGGTTTGTTTTTAAAAAGGGTCGTCTATTGTGAAGTAAAGATGACGGTTTTTTTAAAAACAAGGGTCGTCTATTATATGTAAAGATGACGGTTTTTTTTAAAAAAAAGGGTCGTCTATTATATGTAAAGATGACGGTTTTTAAAAAAAAGGGTCGTCTATTGTGAAGTAAAG